CAGGACTCTGTTCCGCATAATGACATCTATCGAGATGCCCATAGCGACAACCCGAGCGACCTGACTCTTTCCAAGCGACACACCTTCCTACTACCAAGCAACAACTAATTCCTCTTTCCACCCTTGCGATACCCCACTGTTTGTATATTAGTAGTAGTTCTCTTTCTGGTAGGTATGACTAGATGCTTCCATGTGTTTCCCGATCGCGACACTTCGTCCATTGCGGCCGTGCGTCCTTGCGCCCACCTACCTGGTTCGACCGTTTGCGCCCTGCCACGATTGGATCGATGCATCGTCCGGGTGACCTGTATGTAGATTGTTTGCTATAGCGGTTCTGCTCTTTCTTTACGATACCCAATCTCTTTACTGGTTTGCGGACCGGGTTTACTGTCCTTTTTATCGCAACATCTTGTCGCACGCTTTGCCGTGCAATGTCATTGTATCAAACATTATTACACGAAGGAGGTGGGTGTTCGGATGCACGAAAAGAGGAAGGAGGATTGGTGGATGAAGGATGTTACGATGCTGTCGCACAGGCACCGGCGCGTGTCTCCCAAGGCAAAACTTGGGGTGCGGGGCATCCTTGAGAAGCGATGGAAGAAAGCTTGCTGAGGTTTCTCCGCAGATGTCATGGCGGGTGAAACCCCATGACATGCAACGGTCAGAAAAGGCCCAGTTATTTGTCTGGACGTGTAGTACGGTGTCACTTTACATCACGCTGTCGCATCGCTGGAACATGCATGCATAGTAAACATGTACAAGTTGAAAGTGCAACATAATACATTCATTTAAAGCCGTGATGTAGGTAATACTACATCACAGGCCTGTTTGCCTCATCATCACTATCATCATCATATGCAATGAACTCCCTCCTTCCGCTCGACGCCTGCGTGACAAAGTATCGTGTTGTCTCGTATGCTCGGAGCTTCTTTTCTGCGCCCGGGCTGCACACCAAGTCTGCTTGCTGGGGACCAGTAGGAATGGCTAGGAGACGCTTTTCCGCCCCCGATAAGCGCAACCTGCTGTGTTTCTGGCATGTTGGCTCAGGAGTGTTCTTGTTTTCCATCCTGAAAATGCAGTTAGTACGTGATACAGTTCAATCAGTTGAAGATGGGTGGAGTCTTACCATCGCTTGCCCAAATGCACACCCTCAGCAACACAAGCCAATACCGCTGACACAACAATAATCTGAAGCGCCCATAGCCCCACAAACGAGCTGTGGAACTCGGTCGGCGATGATCGAACTTCTTGATAACATAGTATCCTCCCTTGTGGCCGCGACGATGTCGATTGTGCTTCATCATCTTCCGCCATTTCCGGATTGCTCATCAACACAGACGTTGGTAATGGCTTCTGAGCATCCTTGACTGCTCCCCGCATATACGAGTTGTAGATCTCGGGTTCAGTGTGCTGCAACTTCTCCAGTTTGGATCCTAGGCTTGCGCATACATTTATTGCGGCCACGGGACTTGGTAGGGTATTTGCGGGCGACCAGTGCGCAGCCGAGGGTGTGTATGCAGCTGATGCAGGAGCCGGTGATGATGGGATATCATTGACGATCTCGCATCGGCAATGTGTTTGTGTAGGCGCCGCAAGTGTTGTTGATATGATAAGGGTCGCGATAAGCGATGTAGAGAGTTTGGCAAACATGTTTGCTGTAGTGATTGGACTTTTCTCGTAGCGATTGAGAAAGTCGATTGTATATTTAGTATTCCCTTGCGCTGGAAAAGCCACGCGGTGTGACGTTTATACCAAGATGAGGGGAAGGGGCGCAGCAGTTGTGGTTTTCTTGTATCTGTTCGGACCGTTAATGCTGTTGTCTCGGGGGTACTTGCGCTTGGTGGCTAAGATTACATACCAGAACCAAGGACTGGGCCTTGAGCGCAATGTAAGCGGGTTGCTCGATGATAAGCCGTATGATTACCACGCTTAGGTTGGTCGTTATCTGGAGGCCTGGTGTATTGAGCCGATGCAGATTAGGCAGTAGTTGGGTAGGGGAGTGCGGTGTTGCTGTTGTTGTTGGTGGTTATGAAAGGGTGCTGATGATATGCACTTGCAACAACTACAAGCAGTATACACGAATTAGATTACTTCGAATCACTCGAAAGAGACGACAGGCAAAAATCTGAATGCGCGCAGCAGAGGCCCAGTCTATATGCAAATTCCTATCATCACCCCATTCTGCTTCAGCGCAGCTGTTGTATCAGCTACGCCCACACCACGACCGGCCGTTTCGCACAGTAGCATCTCGCCGGGGGTCTAAGCGGGAGGCAGACCAGGTTCTAGGTCAGCGACCGCCCAGGGTCCCGCGCTGCGCTGCGCCTTTCTGCTGTAGCTTTAGCCGAGATGAGCACTGGTTTGAGCAGTATACGAACGGCGGCTTTGTCTGTAAAGAGGTTGGGATGAAATATTTGGTGACTTGGTAGTCTTCATTGGAAGGTTTAGCTTAGATTGCAAGGTCATTGGTGCACTGGAGGCGCAGCTGCACGGCTGGGAATGAGTTGGAGCTAGCGGAGTCCCCGCAGATCTCTAGCATCATTACTACGGCTTGGATAGATGGATGATGCTGGTGATGTTCACCTCATTAGCTAATCCACATTTTCTGCCCGATGACGAACTTGCTCGTTTTTCGCTGCTCTTGCAAGTTTTGTTCTCCTTCTCATAGAGCGGACCTCACTCCGCTCGCTTCGCCTCGCACCACCTCACAAACAAGGGGGCTCCACTCGCTATCACGGACTGCGAAACGTTACTCTCGCACACGGACGTCTGCATACGGTACCAACCCTTTTCTAGCTCTAGCACGCCTATTTTTCCTTCTCCCGCGTGCGTCTTCCCGAGTCGTACCTGAGGCTAGAACGAAGGCAAACATCCTCGGTCCTTCCCCACAGCACCTGCTATTAATACTCTTTTCTTTTTTCATTGCCCAGCGGAGTCGTGCGATATCTCGTATAGCCTACCGTTCTTTTTGAGCCTTGGTGTTGAAAGCGCGAACGCTCTGGAGGGCTCTGGACCAAACTGTTGCGCGAGTGATACGAACACCGAGTTACCTCGTGGTGTTGTTGTGTATCGCCGGCATAGCTTTTTCTCAGAATTCAAGTCTCACCTGTCACGTCAGATGTCGAACACGGCGTCTTCTCCGCGCACCACTATTTAAGCGTACAGAAATTTTCGCGGGACCGCGAGCGGAAGGCCAAACAGTTGGAGTCGTGGATTACCTTTTCCTCGCGAAACGCATGGCTTGAGCTTCCGAAACGGATCTTCATGGCTAAGAAATGCCGCGGAAAGCTTGTGGTTGATAGAGGTCAGGATTGAGGCATGTGGTGTTTCATCTTGGTGGGGTTGTATACCGGTTAGCAGCATGCGCGGTTGATATCATATCGCAAAATGGCACGATACCTATATCTTGGGCGAGGGCCGCGGTAGATATCGATTATGAAAGTGGAAGTAGTGGATGTTTTGAGTATGTCGGCAATGGAATCATTGTCTTTGTGAAACGTAGCGTAATATTGGAACCCCATACCAGCAGCCGTTGCTCAAAGACGGTAGGGTGCCTTGTGATAAGGTATCTCGAGTCCTTTACGCTCGCTGCCACTCCAGAATCGGATCCACGGGTCACTTTCTTCGTAACTGACATTCCATGGTGCTACTACATTGCAGTATTGCTTCTCAAGTCCTTCTTCGAGCTCATCCCAAATGGTTACACAGCCTGGATCCACCTTCAATACCTCCTCTCCCATAGAATCTATATGTTTCTGGCGTTCGCACTGCCCCAGAATTATCCGCTCTAACCTTCTGGTAGGAATGTCCTTCCACTCGCCCGTCCCTATACTTCCATTCTGCCTCTCAACACCTCGATCCTTCTGTCTGTCAGATTTTGTGGCCGAAAGCTCGACGTGATGTGCTCTTCCATCGTGACATTCTTTCGGGAGCGCCATCCTTGTAATATTGCTCTTCTCTTCCTTGAACCATACCATACTGCAGAATCAACATCAATTCTTTCCTGAGACAGGGTCCGGGCTTGGTGGTAGGTACACTGTTGATTCGGAGAGAGCTAACCGCTATGTTATATTGACTGACGGCTCGATTGGACCTTCTGAGAATCTTCCCCAGAGATGCGGTTGTGGTGTAAATTCGGTCAGCAATTCTTGGCCCTTCTTTTCAGTACAACATTCCGTTCTCGTGTCGGGAGCATCATCGGATCGGACGGCAGGACATTCATTTTTACCGCGGCCGACCCAAACTCCGAATGTCCATTGTACCAATTGAGCAAGTTTGGAAACACGAGAAGCACGGCAACCTTCAGTCATTTCAGTCCAGTAATTGCACATATACTGCTTACAAACTGTGCAATGTCTGTGTATGCTCGGTAACTCGAATCTGTCGACTTTTTCGGTGCGTAACATAAGCCATACAGCAAGTGAGGGAGGAGTATATGGCCGGTGTTCGGTTGCGTCACAGCGTGCTATACCTGCTGGAGGCAGTTTTGTTGCTTAGGAGTGACATAATCGGCTCGTGAGAGTAAATGAACGATGAACCGATAGCGGTAGCTTATTGGAGTTGACAGTGTGAACGAGCTGTGTGCCGATGATGCCATGGAGCGATACATAGATGGAAGGTAAGCATGAGGACATGGCTCCTCAATATTCAACTCCTAGTACCTCATCGAGGCAACGGCCACCGTGCTTCGGTCGGAAGGAACGACTTGTTGCTCACGGTAGTGATAAGAGACCTCGTTGCTATATTCGTACGATGTGTCGAGCACAACCCGTCAAACGCTCTGCAAGACATGCTTGATCGCAAAAGACAAGTGGTGGTGAATGAACATATTCAAACTAGGCACTGAATGCTTATGCTTTGACATCTCTGATATTGACGTTGTACGTACGCTAATCTGGCATGAAATTTTCTTCCTCTCCATCCGCTCTTGTGATTCGCATCCCACCCCCAGTATCCGCCTTTCGTCCACCTACATCATCCACCATCTAAGCACTCAAGCCACTCTAAATGACAATCGTCCCATTCTCTCCAGTGATGAGATCGATCTCTCCAGGAATGACCGTTCCGTTGTCCACAGCCGCAGCATGTCCCCTTGCCACCATTCCGTAAACCGGCAAGTACTTGTCCAGGTATGGCAGTACCTCCTTCGCACCGGGGGTGTTGCGCCAGTCCCTCATCAAGTCACATACGATGGAGAAGAGCGAGACAAGTTGAACACCTGCGGCTTGCATGCGCGAATTTGCTGTATCGCGCACGAGCTCCGAGTAAGTACCACTAGCTTCGACGTTGGCAAAAACAGAGTAGCCTTCTGCACGGAGGGCGAGGGCGAGGAAGGTGGTGCAGACGTCTGTAGTGATGCCTCCGACGATGATTTGGGTTTTGTTTGCCGCGCGGATAGCGGCCTTGAAATCAGCGTTGTCCCAGGCGCTGGGGATGTGTTAGCTGAATGCGCAGCGATGGACGTATTTTCGAGTGGTTAGGTAATAAGAGGAGGTGAACGAAGCAGAAATCACTTACTTAACCTCGCCTTGACGTCTAATGAGCGGCGCATCGGGATACATCTCCAACATCTCCTTGGGCAAAGGACCGTTGGGACCTTGGTCCGCAGACGTACTTAGGATGACGGGGATGTCAAAGACCTTGCCTAGCTCGGCATGTGCCATGATGTTTTGCTTGTAGAGGGTTGGGTCCCAATCTCTGGCGAGTTGGAAGAGACCGACTTGCAGATCGAGAATCAGGAGTAGCTAGGCTGGACGTCAGATTATGGTATAGGTTGAAAATTCGGATGGCAACTTACTGCGTCGTCTTTGTCAATGCGCTCCCATGGTACAGCTGATATATGTTAGCTATTGGAAGATATGTATTGTTTGACTATCGTACCATCACCGCGAACGGTGTTGAGAAGCGTGAGAGCCGCAAGGGCGATGGTAGAAGCGAACTTCATCTTGAGGGCTAGTGATGGAATTGAATAGGCAGGCTATGCTATTGAAGTCTGGGAGGTGTTCGATAGCGATGCGATGACTGATTGTTTACAGGCGGTGCAAACCTCCCTTTATACCTCGAAGTCCTCCTCTTCTGCCTGTCAACTCTTGCATCCCGCTCAGAGCCCAGTCCATGTATCCACTGCTTCGTGCCAATGTCTCTACGGCCTTGGCCCGCAAGCCTGGTCTCGTATACTGTGGTTCAACCCGACATCTGGGTGGAGCTTGCAGTGGAGTTCTACATCGCGCAGCTTGCTGACTACTATCTTCATCAGGGAATTCTGCAGCCTCAATGCTATGAAAGCCATGACTAACCAGTAGACCGGATTGCTTCCATCCCAACTACGACAAAACTGGTTACCTGCGCGGAGTAGCCCCGCGTTACCGCCCGTAGTCTACCCATCGTGCATGCCCGAAGTGGATCACCGTCGACATCGTTGGTGTTGAGACCGCACGCATGGAACGTGACCGGTATAATTTCGTCCTGAATAAGTCTTTGGTAACCAGCAATAGAGTATGCAGTACATGTAGGGCGCTGCTGCTAACGTCATGGCCCCATGTACTTTCGCCTCGGTTGAGGCTGTTGTGCATCCGGAGCTAACCGGTTACCACCTTAGAAAGCTGCAAGTCAGCAACAAGGCTCTTATTCATCAGCATTTGGTCACCCGCGCTTGCACTCAATCCTCATACAATTTCGACAGGGTCGAGGATCTGTGCTTCAAGCATTTTGGTCAGGAATTGGAAATTCTAGTCTCGCGTTTGACTGGTGGAAATGCCCTAGAGAGTACGTACCGATTGTGACTTCCGACAAGCACGGTCATGAGTAAGCAATAACAAAGACGTAGCGCAAAAAAAATCATCAAACAATCATCGTATACATGAATTACAAGACATTACGTATTCATTTACTAGCCGCTAACTCAAGCTATGTTGTACTTTCAAAAGCTTTTAACCTGCTCGGAAGCGCAGCGACAAGTCAAAGTGACAGAATGCAAAGCTTGAGATGTTTACTGCGCAGCAAGACCATTGCTTGCCAAGAAGTCCTGCATGACTTGGTAACCAGCGGTGGCGTTGTAATGGAAGTTCAAGCCGTGACCAGTGTTAGGCTGAATGTACGCCTCGAAAGCAGAGGCTGATGGGTAAGCCATGGCGACACCCTCGGGGATGTTGGAGGTGTTTGTACCCATGACTTGACCGTAGCAGTTTCCTCCACAGAATGGTACGTCGTTTTCACCGGTGATGACAAGGACGGGGCCAGTAAAGGGAGATGAACTGGGCGAGCCACCGATGGTCAAGAGCTCACCGGTGGTGACGGGCTGCTTGGTCTTCTCGGCTACGAGAGCTAGGCCAACGTCGTAGTTGCCAGGCTGGAGGAAAGCGTACTGCAAGGCAGTGAGGTCGGAGTGTGCCAAGTATCCAGAGGGGTAGTTGAGGGTGTCAACTGTCTTGTTGTAACCGTTGATCAGGTCGAGGACTTCGGTGGTGGCGACCTCGTTCCATACCTCATCAGAGGTCAGGTCCACACCAGCAGCTGCGAGGATCTTCTGAAGACCACTGACGACGTTCTCGCTCACATCATACTGGTCGGCGATAGCGCGGACGACGGTGTTCGAGGAATTTCCGAAGCGCAGAGGCTGGTTAAGGCGAGCGCTGTGCAGGTTCCATCCGGCAGTGATGTAGGCCAGGAATTGTCCGGCTACAGAGAAACCAGTAAGGATAACACCGTCCGTGTTCTCAGGGTAGAGAGCGGAGAGCCAGTAGGACTGGACACTACCGAAGGAGTGACCAACGTGGATGACCTTGTCGTATGCGCAGCTAATCTCTGGGATCTCGCCCTTGCGCAGTTGCGTAGTGACAGAGTTGAGAGCTTCAACTTCAGCTTGAGCTTGGATCCTGATAAGAAAAGAGAATGGTCAGTAAACTATGCAGAACGAGTTGCGTTTCCCACTTACTCGTTGAATGGGTCTCCATGAGAAGATAGACCGATACCTAGACGGTCGATCGCGAGCGTACTGTAGCCAGCAGCCAGGGCCACATCGACATAGCTGTAGTTGTAGTTGTCGTACTCGAGGTCCCAGTATGTCTTGTCGAAACCAATACCGTGGCTCAAGAGCTGGATGGTTTTGCCGTTGCCACTGTCTGGCTTACAGTACTGTGCGGAGATGTTGTAGGTACCCTCCAACGTTTGGTAACCCTCAAGAAGCTCTGCTGTGTAATTCTTGCCGAATTGATTAAATCGAGCAACGAATGCGCCAACATCGAGGTTGCCTTCGACGGGCACTTCCTTGAACTGTCCTTGCCTCGAGCTAATCGACGTCTCAATCATGAAGGTCGAACATTGCCTCGCGGCCGCGAAGCCAGCGAGGGCAAGGGGTAAAACTGCTTTGACTGGAGCCATGGTTGTGAGTAACGTAAGGTTGAGTAATCACTATCCAGGGGAGGAGACAAAGAGAGAAAAGAAATATTCGCTCAATGGATTAGGTGAAACACGACCTGAACAGAGCTTACCTTCACCGCGATGCAATGTGGCTGCCTGACTATATAGTACGTGGCCGTGTAAGCATGCGACTAGCTGCCTTTCCCTTCCGGCCCTTCCAAATAGGAGCCATCAGTAAAGTCATAGCGCACGAACTCGTCGATCGGAAGCTTCCATAGCGTTATCCAGCGGTTCGCCATCCAAATTGACGTTGTGCAACCAATAGTCACTTACCGGCGTTTTGGTCAAAGTACCGTGAGAAACTGTTTGCATGTTCAATCGGCAGCTAACGCGGCAAGACAACATCCGAAACTGTGAAATCGTGGGGTACCAGAGTGTAAATTCTCAAATCGGGCGCAGCTTCGGCCTAGCAGCGGATATTCCTATGGCATCATAGGCTGAATTGAGTAATCGATGAAGCTCTTCGAGCGCTAGCTCTAGTATGTGGAGACTACTTTCCCACTCCAGCGGAAGCTACCACAAGCGGGTACATTGCGATCTTCCATTCTAGAAGACGTCAATAGCACATGCGTAGGACGTATTAAGATAACGGGAAGCCTCACCGGACAGCTTCCTCACGCTGCAGGTTGGTCAGCCACTTTCTGCTTTTAAGCGGTAGTTTTGGCGGACACGCAGGGAATCCTTGCAGCCCAAGTTATCGTTCATTGCCTCTGCCCATGTGCTCGTGGTGGTGTCCGGAAGTACCAGTGGTACACAACCTGCATGGGCATGTATAGTCGGAACGATTTCGAGGCTCGAGGATGACGATGCGCTGTGATTGGACACAAAGGCGTCATTTTCGAAGGTCTGGATGCCGAGATTGCCAAAACGTTGTTGCTTATACATTCACGTTGAGCTGTCATTGAGCACGGCTGCCGTGTCCGTGGTGTTGATCGTTGATTTGCGCTAAGAATTTGGAATTCCTACGCCTTGATCGCAGAAGGAGTCCGACCCCTAAGACGTCATTATTCCTAGACGGCAGCAAGGCTTCCGTGACGATCGCAATCGCGCGTTCCCATCAAAAACCCATTATTTGCAATAGAGAAAATGGGTTTTGTAATCGGCGGAAAGGGGGAAAGCAAAGAGTAGGTGAGGCGAGGAGAGATAGGAAAAGTAGCGATGCGTCTGAGGGATGGCGCTAACCGAAATCGTTCTACATGCAATTCTGAGAAACATACAGCCAACATTCAACCAGTTTCTCCTAGGAAACCTTCTTCTTCAACATGTAATCTCCGCCCTTGACCGCCTTGTAGATGCCATATAGCCCACTCAACAGGTCATTGCTCTTCACGATCCGCTTCAACATACCCTTCAGACCTGGACCAAATTCCTCCTTCCTTCCCCTATCTTTGACCTTGTCCCATATACTTGGCAGGGAATTTGCGTTGTACTTGCTACGAAGAGCATCGTACTCGTGCTTGTCGTAGACTTGCCACCATTCGTCTTCGGTATAGAAGACACGCGAGTATAACCACTTGAGTCCACCAAGCTCGCGCATCTTTGCTTCGATTTCGCGATTTGCGCGGACATACTCAACCTCGCTGGATGGATATGGACCCCAGATTCCAACACTGATATATTTACCGTCGTATGCACCCATCTGCTTTCCGCCAATCGGGCCCTCGAACGGCTTAGGGTGTCCCATAGAGCTTCTACCATCCTGTCGCAGTGGACACAACCAGATCGGGTATATATTGAACGATTGGTCCGCATAGTCCAAGAAGGATGCAGTGTTTGCCGCCGGAAATGCGATGTCGTGGATTATAAAACGGTCCGTATACCCAGAGGCATGTAACGCGTGATACATGATTCGTGTGTGCATGAAGTAGTCCAGCAAGAAGCGTGTGAACCGCATAAAAGGGACCATAAACTGCTTGTAAGCATACATGCCCATCCAGAACGCCCCACGATCGTAACGAAACAGGTAGTCTTCTACCGGAACAAGTTCCTTTGTAATAATACCCTTCGATGCAAGCGCCTTCGCGCGTATCCAAAACCATTCGTCCCAGGGTCTAGAGAATCGTTGAATAGGTAGCCCAGGCGTATGTTCTGCGTCAACGAGGCGACCTGTGACTATAACTCCGGTGCCTTTGGAGAATAAGACCCCATCAACGTAGTCGTTCCTTTGGTCGGTGGTGTGGTATTGCATCTTGTCTGTGGCGTTCTCAAAGGAAAACGTTGGGTGGTAGGTCACCTCGACTAGCTTTTGCAGAGGGATGAGCTGCAATTCCACCAATGTGAGTACCCCGAGAGTTCCAAAACTACCTCTCAGACCTTCGAAGAGCCCTTGATTCTCGCTCTGAGAAGCCGTGACAAGCGTGCCATCTGCCAAGACCACTTCAGCGCTTAGGACAGTACGATCGAAGAAGCCGTGCTTGAAACTGCTGCTTTCTCCTGCTGTGCCCACAAAACCTCCTCCTACGGTAATGCCTGGAAATTCCATGACAACTGGAGGCAGCAAGCCCGCTTTCATGGTTTCTCTGACCAAGGCATCCATGGGGACATTAGGTTCGACAAGCGCTGTTCTCTTCTCTCTGTCGATAGATAAAACGTGGTTGAGGGAGCTGACATCGACAATGGAATCTCGGTCGAAATTAGCATGGCGAGTGGAATTGGTGCTGCCATGGTAGACTCGGAACCCGGTTTTGGTGTTGTAGAAATGCTGTATGCGAGAGCGAACTGTCTCTACAGTAGCTTTGTGTTGCTCCATCTGGAAAGATAGTGTAGAGCCAACTGCAGCCATGCGATTGTGAGTGCAAAGCTCCTAGTATTGGCTCCCTGCTTGATGCGTGGCTGATGAGGCTGAAGAAGTTGCGCTAGCAGTGGGTCGAACTTGCCCCACGAATCCAGGAGGTTAAACCACCAGTCCTTGCTTCTGCTTCTGCAATTGCGGAAAAAATGAGCCAGAAGTCTATCAGCCACCTCCAGCCATCCAGTGATCGTTTCTGTCGTATAGTATACGCAAGCAAGACCCGTGGAACTGGGTAGTCGTTCTGAACGCCGTACGTCAGCGTCCTTAGCGAGTGGATCGTCTTCCGCGCTTCCGGTCACCATGGGGGCGCGCGATTCCATCGTCCGCGAGACGGAAAGCGACACTCGCGCGTCCGACTGCGATTCAGACTGCTCTGAATTACGTTTACCAAACTTAGATATCTCCAGTGATATGGAATCCCCAGAAAGCAACGTATATCGATCCTTTGCCCCGCACAAGAGTAGTTCTTGGCCCGGTGTGAGTGGTCAGATATTGACTTTAGCAGGATCGAACGGGTAGTGGAGAAGGCGCGGCGGCCCTACGCTTATGTATACATCAAAAGTAATGCGACGCCATGTTCTCTTCATCCTCGAATCGCCCAACAACATTGTTACATCGCATTGCATCATTATATTCACACCATGGATATACACAACTCAACAGTAGCAACACTCGCATCGCAGGTCGCCCGATTCAGTGCCTCGAAAACTCCGTTTCGCATATATCATGGTTCTACGCTGTCAACCCGGAAATCGTCTCGTGATCGCAATCAGATTATCGACGTTAGTTCCCTGAACCATGTGATAGAGTTCGATGAGCTTCAGAAGACCGTCCTCGTGGAGCCGAACGTGCCGATGGATAAGCTTGTAGAAGCCACAATGGCTAAGGGTTTCTTGCCAAAGGTCGTTATGGAACTTCCGAACATTACCGTGGGTGGTGGGTAAGTTACAGGGATCTGAACAAAGATTACTCTAAGTCAGAGGACTAACTAGTGTTGACAGGTTTGCTGGTACCAGCGGCGAAAGCAGTTCATATAAGTATGGGCTGTTTGACCGCACTATCTCGGGCATTGAGCTCATCTTAGGTAACGGCGAGGTAGTATGGGCATCGGCAGAAGAGCATCGCGATCTGTTTTTCACAGCAGCAGGGAGTTGCGGCAGCCTGGGCGTCATTACCCTGCTCAAAATGGAGCTTATTCATTCTAGTCGGTATGTTGAGTTGGAGTACATTCCAGTCGGCTCAACGAACGAAGCCGTCAAACAATTGCGACACTATCAAGATGATCCTGAGGTCGACTATATGGATGGCATCCTGTATTCAATGACGAGCGGAGTAATCATGATCGGCCGCTTGACCGACGCCCCAATGGATAGGAAAATCCAGAGTTTCGACAAAGCGACAGATCCTTGGCTATACATGCACGCAGAAGACATACTAAAGCGGACACAGAGCGAGAAGACTACATACAGGGAACTAGTGCCTGTTCAATCTTATCTCTTCCGCTACGACCGAGGTGTCTTTTGGTCAGGACTACGCGCATTCAAGTACTTCGTAACGCCTTTCAATCGTGTTACACGCTTCCTGCTGGATCCCTTCATGTATTCGCGGACAATGGTACACGCCCTACATCGATCGGGCCTCGCCTCCCGAACAATCATTCAGGACTATGGTGTACCATATGACGCAGCAGACGAGTTCGTTAGATGGACCGACGAAAGGACGGGCATTTGGCCGCTCTGGCTGTGTCCGGTGAAATCAGCACCTCTCGGGGAGCGAAGCTTCTCCCAAGGCAACAATGTCAAGGACGACATTCTGCTTGACGTGGGGATATGGGACATGGGACCAAGCGACGCTCACGCATTTATCAAGCTGAACAGGGATTTTGAAGCCAAAGTCACTGAGTTAGGCGGCATGAAATGTCTGTATGCGCATGCGTACTACACTGAGCAAGAGTTCTGGGACATCTACGACGAGAAGAAGTACATGGAGCTCCGGAGAAAGTACCATGCCGAGAGCTTGCCAAGTGTCTACGACAAAGTGAAAGTTGATCTGCAAGGCGTTGCTGGGGGAGCAAGCGTGAGGAAGACGGAAACGTGGAATGACTGGGCATACCGGCAATTTTGGGATACATGGCCTTTGGGAGGGTTGTACGGAGTTGCAAGCGCAACGAAGGGGTTGTTTTTCGAAAGTGACTTCCTGTTGAAGAAGTAACAGCGCTTCCGTGATAGCAAACGTGGCTAGAGATGTGATCGGAGAATGCATGGGGAGATCCATTGCATCGGCCTACCCCTCAAAAGCATAGTAGTCCATGTCCGGGCCGTCTGTTGCCCTGACAGCTGCCTGCACGTCTAGACTCTAGTACAATGAAGATCAGCTAGCTCGAGGTTCGAACGCGCACTGTAGTACGTGAAGAGGCGGCGATGACGTCGGGCTCTTTGTATAACGACGCGACAGAGGCTCGTCTGCGCAGCGGATCCGAAAGAACAAACCGGTTCACGGCCTGTTTCAGATGTTAGATTGCTAGTGTAGTGAAAACGCGTAGATGGCGCCGGTAGTCGCGTCGACGTCAGTGGAGGTTAGCGTGAAAGCTGGACGACTAGGGGCCTCGACTCACCGCAAGCTCGCATTGACGTAGCAAAGAGCTAGCCGCGACCCCAACCACCCCATTTCGCCCACTACCCAACCCACTATTGCAGGTGCCCGTCAACCACTTTTTGATTATATCAAAACTTGGCCCTGCCTTTCTCTCTCCATATACCCCCACTACAACCATTCCCACCGCACTCTCCACTGGCACCAGCTGCAACCGTTCGCTGTTGTCAATCACGGGCCATTGGACGATCCTGCCCTGTTGACGAATTTTTGGCCAGGTACGCGAGCTCCAACAACACGACGTGTCGCAGCAATTCACCGCCGCCGCCGCCTCGCAAAGCCTTTGTTGTTTGTTTGTCAGGCACCGTGTACTAAAGGCAGTCGCAGCTCAACCTTCTTCAACCCGCTCAACCATGGCGCGCCTCAGTGGCCTCCCATCCGAGCACCACCACGAGGGTCCCGGTGACGCTCCTCGACGCAAACGCGGCCGCCCATCCAAGAACCAGACAACCGACGACATGTCATCTGTCGGCAAGCGAACCGCGTCGCCCTCAGCGGAGCTCTCTCAGACGAAGCGCACCAAGCGCCTCCAGACCATCGAGGACGATGACGAGGACCAGATCGCCGAAGAGATGCGGCAGTCCTTCTCGCGCTCGCAGCGGGGAGACAACGTTCACGTCCAGGAGCAGAGCACCAGCACCACGCGCCGCTACAACCGCCGACACTCTGAGCCTCCAGTTGCCGCCGATGACGAGGACGACGAGCTCATGTTCAACCGACCCGCCTCCACACAGCCGCTACCTGGCCTGACACCCCATCTCGACCGTGTCGGTGCCTCCCGCAGCCGCTTCACCAACACCCGCCGCGCCCGCATGTCCATGCCAGCTCAGCTGCACGTTGAGCGTGTCGACGAGGTCGAGAACAACGGCAACCGCGTTCAGTTTGCGCCCCTCACACAAGTCCTGGATGGCCGCGCGCGTCGCCGCCTCCGCCGAAGCCATCTGAGCCAGGAGGTAAACGACTTCGAAGACCACCAGAAGAAGGACAAGAGGATGTTCCTGGAGCTACGTCGTCAGCTCAAGGCCCAGGATGACAAGATCAAGGACCTGGAATACCGCCTCGAAGCCCGCCGGTTAGGTGAGATCGACATCGCAGACGCAGACGCCAATGACCTGCAAGTGGAACTAGACGAGGCCCGTCAACAGATTGACGAGCTACGCGCTTCTTCCCTGTACAATGGTGACGACAATGAACCAGTTGACATGTCCGACGACGAAGACGGTATGGTCATGGTCAACCCTGACGACCTGAACATGTCGCAAGATCTTGACATGGAGCCGACACCCGTTGGCAAGTACTCTTCCCGCGCGCTAGAGATTTCCAGCCAGATGACACTCGAATCCTTGCCATCTCTATCGCAACTCAGCCGCGACAATCTCACCGAAGGCGAGGATATCATAATGGACAAGATCGAAGACGAGGCCGTCGAGCGCTACGAGCGGGAGCTGAAGCAGATGAGCAAGGCCTTGGGTGAGTCTCAAGGTGCGCTGCGCTTGATCACCATCGAGCTTCAGAACCTTCGCTTCATTGAGGCTGGTGCTTCTTCGAGCGAAATTCTGACCGACTTGCGCCATGGTTTCGAGGACCTTCGCGCTGAGATTGAGAAGTTCTTCCCCGGTACCACCGTTGGTCTTACCAACCAACAACTTCTTCAAAAGGTCCCTGAGCTCTTCAGCGGCCTCTTCTTCGAGCTCAAGCAGCAGCTCTCTCAAATCACCATCTCTCAAAAGGCCGAAGTGCTTGTCCGACGACAATACGAGGGTGTTCTCGACCTGCTGGGCGAATCAGACGAGCGCGTGAAGCAGTTAGAGTCAGACGTCTTCACACTTGATAAGGCAAATGAGGACAAGGCGCGCGCCATTCTTGATCTCGAGGAGCGCAACGCTGCCCTGACGGAACTTTCTAACCAACAGGAACTCACTCTCGCCGAACAAGATAGCGCAATCGCTGGTCTGCAAGATGAGAACCAAGACAAGGACGTCTCTCTGGCACGACTACGCGAAGCTCTCGAAAAGTATCGTGTGGACCTCGACAACGTCACCGCCGCCGCAACCGAATTCGAGACAAACCACCACGAGACGATCGCACGCATGGAACAGGAGTACACCGAGCGCATCCAGGCTCTGGAGGCAAACCTCGATGCTGAGCAGGAGGGTCGCGATGCTGCCGAGGCTGAAGTAAAGCAAAAAGATGCTTACATCGAGGAGTTGGAGGACAGCATTGCGCGCATGGAGACCGATGTCGATAACATCACCACCGACATGACTACTCTCAGAGAGCGTCTGGCTGCGCAGACCGCCGCCCGCGAGACTGCGGAGGGCGAGCGTGATGACCAGATCGAGCAGGTCTACCAGCACGCCAACACCATCGAAAACCTTAACGAGGCCATCGTTGAACTCAAGGAACAGCTTGCCAACACCCGAGAGAATCTAGGTTCTGAACGTGCTCAACGCGAGAAGACCGAAGCTGATCTTGACGAGGCGAATGACAAGATCGAAGATCTCACCACCCGCCTCCACGACACTGGCCTTCAGGCTAATGAGCTGCGATCCAAGCTTTTCCAACTCCAACAAGAGAAGGAGACCGCTCTGGCAGAGCTGCAAGAAGACGCCGATGAGCGCGAGCTTGAACTGAACAACCTGCTCGATGCAGAGACTGAGCTTCGTCAGACTAAGGAGAACACAATTGGTCAGTTGGAGCAGCAGATCCTCGGCCTTGAGAGTGATATCGCGACACTTGAGAACAACCTGTCTGACATGACCGATGCTCGCGATCAGCTCGAGCAGGATCGTGACGTCCAAGTCGCCAACCTTGCTGCTCAACTCACTGACCTGAAGACCAAGTACATGGCGCTGGAGAACTCCACCAACTCCACCATCACCTCACTCCAGGCCAACATTACGGACCTTAACAACCAGATCCAACGGCAACAAGCTGAGATCAATGATCTCTTCGATCAGGTCACTGAGAAGGAGCGCATCTACCTTGAGGATACGACTGCCCTCCAAGGAAAGATCGATTCTCTTGAGGAGGATCTCACGGTTCAGAAGGCGGAGAACGAAGGCTACCGCAAGGAGAACTTGTCTCTCTCAAGGCGTGTTGAGTCCGAGGCCAACGAGCTTCTGAACATTGTCGACGCCCACGCTAACGAGGTCAATGCCCTTAATGCTGTCATCAAGACACAAGAGGCCACCATCAAGAGCCTTCAAGATGCGTCTGCGAAGCGCACTACGGAGTACGAGGAGATGATTGAGGAGCGTACAACTGAGCTCACAGAGATGCGTCTGCTAGGCGAAGCTCGCCTCGAGACCATCATACTTCTGGAGGCCCAGATCGAGGAGATGAAGGAACGCTTCCGTCTTGCTGAAGAAGACACTCGTGCCACCATCGACGCCCTCACTGCCTCGCAACGTCAACTCCAGGAGCAGAATGAGCGTCTTGCTGATGACTTGAAGCGCCGCAACCAAGACGCTCTCCAAGCCGTCCAAGAAATGAAGCTCAAGCGTGTTGAAGTCAAGACCCAAGGCGTAGGCGACCTCCACCGTGTCGCTAATGGCAAGGTCTTGAAGACCAGCGAAAAGGTCAAGATTGGAAAGAAGGGCAAGAAGAAGGTCTCTTCTAGGCGTCAATGGGACTCCGGCTTCGGCGTTGATGAGAATGTCGAAGACGAGGAGCTCAACGCAGAGGAGCCACTTGCTGCATAGAGTGCAGTAGCTGATGATTGCAAATTCGCTTGACTACTTTGCAGGTTCAGATTATATTTGGGTCCTATGTTGTTGCTGTCACTGCAGAGCAGTATTCTTGTCTTTTCTTCTCCCTTATATTTTTGGACACATTACTTTGGGTAACAGATTGTTTCGTTTGTCATGATACATCCGGCGCTGGCATTTGCTATCTTACGACTCGACGACCTGGCTTCAACGCTTTGTTTGATAGGATAAATGGTGGTAACGATATCGCAGTGTATTGCATAGCGCACGGTGCCTGGGTTCCAGTTACGGTCACAGGGAAAAGAAGTAGTGTAATGACCCTTGTTCTATCTTGTACAGATTCTCCTTTTTTATCATCAATCACAACAACGAGATCAGAACTCCTTCTTCGCCATTCGCATCACTGCATCCGTGAAAGAACCTTGTATGAGCATGTTGTCTCCCAGGATGCTGGTTAAACGTTTTGGAGCCTTGCGTGGCCCCAACGTTGAACGCTGGACGGGAACTGTCAACATGGGTCTTCCCGTCGTGTTCTCGTATCCCTGAAACAGATCTGCAACAACGCGTTACGTTGCCTATCAATCGGTCCGCACCCCACCCAGCAATCGGAAGTTTAGCAACTTCCGAGGACCAAAGGCAACCCAAAATCATCCAACTCCTTTTCTTTTCTTCCCTTCCCTTTACTCATCGCCGGCTCCACATATTCACGCCTAGCAAATATCCCCCCCTTCTCATCGACAACACAGGCCAAGCACAATGGGTAGCAGCAGCCTCAACCCATCCTCTCCTCGCGACGATGAAACCGTGCTCTTCCTCTTCATCGCCTTTGCTATTCTCATCGTCCTTCTACTCTTGCTGGTGTTGATCTCGTGCCAGACGTGGATGTTGTGGAAGATGGCAAAGGCGGTTGTTGAGCAGGACACTCAGATTACACAGCGAGGACGAAAGGGATATGGATATGATAGTAGTGGGGGAAGTAAGAGGAGGAGTGTTAGAGGCAGTATTTATACCGATGGGGAGGAAGAAAGGAAGTTGATGAGTGGAGGTAGTGGTAATGGACCAGGGGGAAAGAGGAGGACGGGGGTTTGGGGAGTTGGAGGGTGGGTTTGAGGTGGATGAGTTGTGCACTTTAAAGTAGGAGGGATTTGGGAAGGTCGTAGGGACGACAACTTTGATTTGGTACGTTACAAGAGGACGAAAACCAAGGATAGACAGTAGGGGCTGGAAAATGCTACGCAACGACACGCCCGCCTTTTACCTCACACCACCAGTTTCGCCTTTGGCTTCAACAACATAACCTCCAAAACCCGATACTCTTGCCTCAAAGCCGCGACCTCCTGTCTCAACGCTCTTTGGTCCTCAGACAAGCATTTCATCTCCTCCGCTACGGACTTCGCCTCCTTACTCAGACTGGCTAAACCTGTTTCATCCGACTTCTTCACAGACGGTCTATTAACAGCATGCGAACGATCATGAAATATACCCAGTGGAGCGGGTGAATACAAAGTACTTGGCGAGGTGTTGGATAGTGGGGTATCCAAGGCATGGATACTGAGTTGATGATGTTGTGGCAGTGATGGAGTGGGTGCGTTGGAAGAAGTTACCGATTGATCGGTATTTTCGGCAAGGCCAGCATCGACAAGATTCGTGTCTTTGACCGCGCCTGAGATGGAACGGGAGTATACGCTGCTAGGTGAATTTGCTCGCGTGTCAAGCGAGTTCGTCATGGGCTGCCGTGGTAGAACTGGTGTTAGGTTGCGATGGTTGTAGTTTTGGAAAAGATTACTTTTAGCTAGGAGGCCGGGTGCGGGGTAGTAGAGGCTTTCGAGCGAAGATGACGAGTCTGCTGCTGTGGTGGTGGTGGCGGCGGCGAATGCGTGGTTTCGAGGAGCTTTTGATCTAGCGGCTATATTGCTCGGGCCTGCCATGTCGTTTACGCTCTCATCGGCAACCGAGTGTCTTCTCGTGCTTGGCGTTGAGCATGAACATGCATTGCTGGGCCATTCTGTCTCTGAGTCGATTCTTCTGAGAGCAAACTTCAATATTGGAAGATTAGGTCTATCTGGGAGGGTAGAACTCAGATCCAATTCAAGCTCTCGTGCTTTGCTCAATGAACGCCTCTCAAGCATCTGAGCGGTGGGACGGGAGTACAGACTGCTCGAGCTACCCAAAGGAGACGACGATCCTGGATCGGCTATAGTTACGTGTCGCTGAGGTTTTGGCACGACCAGTGACCCGCTCGGTGCTTCCGCCACAGTCTCTTGATGCTCAACAGACTCCTCCTTCATCATGCCGGATGTTGGACGAGAGTACAGACTGCTGGGTGTGTTGAACGCAGTGGGAGAGGACTGTGGGAAGGGCACTGGACGGATCGTCGTTGAAGTTGAGGTAATCAGTGGTGATTCTGAACTCATATGACGCTGCGACGCCTTTGGTTTGCGTCTTCGCGTGGAAGGAGGTGTAAACCATTCTTGATCCGAAAAGTGCGAATCATCAGACGAGCTGAGCGACCTATGAGGAGCGGAAAAGAGCTGTGCCCGCGACGGGGCTGGTACACTTGGCATCTGATGTACTTCGAGCCATCTCTGACTTTCTTGTATTGGAGGATCAGGTTTGGGTAGAGACTTTGCGGTGCCGACATGAAAGGGATCGTGCGGCGAAGGTTCCGGAGGCGACTGAAATGTCTCTGTAGAGATGCGCGGTCGTACAGATGGCTTTTTCACGTGTTTGTTGCGCACTCTCTCAATGCGGAGAGGCGAGCCTCTCGACACATCCGAGGCTCTGCGACTGGGAACTCTCGACTTGAACTTCCTAGACTCATTGGAAAACAGATCCGGCGGTGGCCCAATAGGTACCGGTTTTCTTGTTAAAGCTGACTTGCGGGGTGATCTAGTCTTCCTGACAGTACCGGTCTCTTTGTCAGAAGGAGTCGATCCCTCCGCATCCACAATATCGACGACGGAACGAGGCTTGAGGGACAGCGATAATCCGCGAATCGGAAGAATCGAAGGCGCGGTCATGTTGCCGACCCACTCAACAGCCGTGATAGACACTCCCACAGTGATCTCATGTATCAGTAGGCCCAGGGCGTTGAAAACAAGAACTTTTCCAGCCTGTGTACCAATAGCAATCAATGTCTCAAAGCCCTTGTAGACATCTCCGGCATCTTCTGCCGCGTCGCCTCCTAGTAGCACCATCCCGTCGACTCTTCCCTTTGAGTGTACAGAGCCTTTCGTAGATACCGACAAGCAAGTAGCGGGATAAGAGACATGCTATGTCCGGAGTACTTCTCCTCCCCCTTCAAAGTCAACAAGTCGACATTTCCCATCATACCTAATGCTAACAACACGCGATTTGTAGCCCGGTATGAACTCCGCTGCGAGTACACCACCCATGGCCGGCTTATGGAGCTTCTTGATGACACCTACTCGGACAGGCTGTAATTGGTAGAACTGGAATTGATTTGTGTGCGAATCTTCGGGCCGCTTTCGGAGTGAAGGCAGGAAAAGACGATACATCGCTAGTAATCCGTCCTGGAATCCGATCACAAAGTTTGTATATGACGGCTGCGCGGGACCATCCAATTGTTGGAACGCAGCACAGGTCGCAGAGTAGCGGGCATCTGTTGGACGAAAGTCTATAGGCGCGCTGTGTCCCCATCTTTGGTCTTGAAGGTATATAGTCATCGGGTTTGGTGATGCTGAAAGAAGTACAGTACCGTTACTGGATATCGCGATCACATTCGGTGGAGATGGATGCGATGGTAAGGAAGGCAGAAGCTTGTCATCTGATATGGAATACGCTTGAACTGAGTTGTTCAACGTCGTCGTGAAATACAGGGTGCGCGAGTCGGGTGAGAAGAGAAGAAGACGTGGCTCGCCCTGTGCTATCGTCAGTTTGTAGTCCGTATCGTCACTAGGGAAGATGCCATACATCACCACTCTTCAATTTGTGTTTCCTGTCCTTGGTTCGCGAAGCATCATGTAGTATTACAACCTGACCATCTGCTATAGCGAACAGGCTGCTGTTATCTTTCGAGGCACGAGCGTTGACTATGCCGTTAGCGGTCTCGCACTCGAACAGCGTCTCGCGAGCAAGCTGTGTCCTCAAATGAATCTTGTTCGGTGTTGTAACAAACAGACTCTGTTCAAACGGTAAGCGCTGGGATTTTGCCATTGCTGGAAGTAGAATAGTGATAAGTTTAGGGAGGTCGTTGCGATGAGGTGGCAAAAGAACGAGGTTTGGATCGTGCGGTATTATGATCGAATGCGCTGCGGCAGGTGCTACAAGTCGGCACGTGGAGTTCCAGGGTAAGCGCAGCGGGAATCAACCTTCATACGAGCACTGTGCTACCATAGGTGCCATGAACACATGCCTGATTGTAATAGACATTCTCTGAACAAACAAATGGATTCTGTAAATCGAGCAGTCCTAGTCGAATTACTAGTCCAATCTACTTCAGCTTAGCGTACTGCTTGCCCCATTTCTCTGCGATCTCCTCATCTGAGAACTTTCTTGTCTTGCGCTTTAGCATCTCGACTCTCTCGTCGAGCGTAAGCTGCATCTGGTCGCCCATAGGTACGAGACATTTAGCAATATGCTCATAGTTCTTTCTGAGCAGGTTGACCGTAAGAAAGAAGTAATCGATGTTATAGAAAACGATTGCGTGCTCGTCGGAGTACTGCTTCTTCTGCGAAAGGAACGCAACTGGATGTTCACGCCAGTGACGGAGCGGATTGAGGTGATGAGATGTGTGATAGCCATCGTTGTAACAGTGGCGGTTGCTCTGTTGTAGTGTAAGTGGTGCTTTCAAATCTAATCAAGCAAGAATGAATGCAGACTTACGGGTACGTCGATGAGTGTGATGCTTGACCTGAAGTCAGAGTCCGGCTCGACCTCGTCAACGAAAGCGTGCTGGCCCCAGTTTCCAGTCATCAAAGCCAGGCGCATGAAAGCCAGAGGAATCAAGAACACAAACGTCGTTGCACGAGCGTTGACGAAGTTGTACATCACGTACAGGAAGACGTAGTTACCAACTTCGCAAGCACCCGCTTGGAGCGCGAGATTAGGCTTGCGGTTGCGCAAGAAGTACATGGGCAAATCGAGCCAGATCAGAAAGTAGAACCGGCCAACATATTGCGCAAAGTCCCAAACACTGTCCCGCTGGTATCGAATAGTAGAAGACAGGTCATTAGGTCCGTTGCCTTCAACGTGATGGTGCTTGACGTGATGATAGTAGTATGAGTTCCAGGTGTGGCCCATCATTGGATCGAGAATGTATGGGAATAGCCGGTCGATGAAGCCATACTTCTTGCTAAGAACACCACGCATATGAATATGCTGATGCTTCAGGAGCGTGAATGGTCCCATGTAGTAGCCTTGCATAACGCAATGAAGCACAGCGTGCCACCAGTGGAAGTTGACGTACAGATAGATCGCTGATGGGACGCTGGTGCAGAAGTAAAGCAGCAAATGCGTAACCATAATGACATCGGTCTCGACTCGTACAATCTGCTTTGCCCATCGAATGTAGGGATCAATGATCCATTGACGAAGAAGAGGGTTCTTGATGTCCGAATCATCGACAGTGCTGCACACAGTGGTCTCGAAACTGTCAGACTTGGGGTCATTCAGCTTCTTGAGATAAGCGATTGCTTGCTGCTCCTGGTCTTGGAGATCTGTGAGATATTAGTTATATGAACCAGCCATGGTGGTCCAAAGAGAGATTCACTGACCCTCTGGTGATGGCGTCACAATCTCGGAATGTTTGACACCCGAGTCATCTGAATCTTCTGCTGCATCTAGCGTTGATTTCGCAGGCCTGGTCTCATGTAACTCGTACTCCTTCTGTAGGATTTCCAGAACAATTCGGTCCGGACCAGTCAGCTCTTTATCGAGAGGGAAAGCCAGCTTGCCCATCTTGCCGACGACCTGGTAGGATCGTTGTTGGGTTGTGCCGTGATGGCGTGATGACTGCGATAGCAAAAACAAGTGCCCGCCGAAGAGATTGGCAACAAGCGCCTTGTACTGCCGAACAAGTAAAGAACGAATCAACCAATGTGAAGATTATGATGGACGTCAATGGCAGAAGCGCATGATGGAGTTGTAGCGAGCTAGGTATGAGGCTGTCACTGTGAAGCCAAGTAACTGGAAGCGGTGACAAAACCGTTTAGCGCGCCCCTGGTGACCCACACAAGTGGCGAACGAAGACCGAACGCGTATGTATCATTTCACATGGCCAGTGGACTAGAACACTGGACACGACGGATCGACCATTGCTTCATGCAGCAGCGAAGGCAGGTAGGGGCAGTCTGATAGATAATTAACATGGCCGCGAATCACATGCAAAAGAGCAGTCGCAACCTTTGTGTGGCAAATTCAGGGTCCCCAACTACCCCGCATTCGCCCAAGCGCCTTCCCAGAATATAGTGGGGCGGACATTGAGGCTCACAGTCTTCGTGCAAAGTAAGCAAACGTCAAGTTCATACTGATCAAAGCATTTCGCCATGAAGCGCTGGATATAGCGTCTTCGATAATCTATAGGAAGCTGCGGGCGAAGAAGACGTTTGACCCGTTCATCGCCACCTAGTGTTCCTTTTCCGCCCAGAACTGCAAGAACCGACTCACAGTCCTCTCCTCCCAATAATGGGCCTCCCTGATATAATCCGGCTCAGCGCTAACGTTCTTGATACCATAACTGTCCCAGTGATGTCCGGCTCCCGCAATCAGGTAGCTCGGGTACTTGTCGCTACTGATCCTGGGCTGAGGAGCCAGATTCGAATGGTAGCATAGATCAAGCCAGACATCGGTATTGCCATCGATCTTAGCGAGATTCTCAGCTTGGACGTCCCAGCCTCCGTACTTGTTATAGTAGTGCAACTGGGGAGTTGCAGGGATGCTATTATGCTCGCCAGGTGGGAAGGCCCAGGTGCACCACTGCTGGGTGTAGTCAATTTGGAGGACGCGGGAGATGAGAGATGGGCCGTTCGTAGGCGCAACTTGGTAAGCACCGGACTCTGAACAGGTCGAGTAAAGGTATGAGCGTGCTGCACCGTTTGAGGGGTCGGCGTAGTATGTCTGATTTTGCGTGCCGAAGCAGCCCTCGTCCGTGCTATCGATTCGTCCACTTTCGCAGTTCGGGATGAGCGTCTTCTTCACATAATCGGCATAACCACCTAATCCAGTCCAAGATTCACCCTGGGAGTACTTGGCAAGCGCCATATCGACGCTGCTGATGTTTGCCGGTGGGTTGATGTTCGTTACGTTGGAGCAGAAGTTGAAGAAGTCTTCAGAACCATATTTGGGGGACCAATCTAGAGCGTGATCAGCACACATCTCACAAAGACCCTAAACAGCACCATTACTTACTGATTTCTTGCCATGTGTTGGTGGGATAATTCATCGGACCACCGATCGGGAATGCAATCGTCATGGCAAAGTCTCTCAGATCTTGCAGCGCGCCGAGACCAAAGATCTCCTTCAATTGCTGGATGCCTTCTTTGTTTCCACTCCAGATAAGTTCATCCATCTTGTCGACAATGTCAATGATCCTGGATACGCAGTCTGAAGGACCGAACTTTATGATGGGATCGTACCACTGAGGGTATTCGAGTAAAGCCTGGGTAGTGGCACTGCTACCGATGCCTCCAGCAAAGATGTCGTTGTAAGTCTTCATGGTGAATGCAGTGTGAGCACCAGCAAGAGAACCGCCATACATAATCCAAGGGGTGTCAACACTGTTCAGACTAGCGTTAACACCTGGGAAGGTAGCATGCTGTCTAAAGTAGGCATTGTCGGCAATCGCTATTCAAAGTCAGCTCATTTGCATCATGGCCTGAATACTTGCATCACTAACTCTGCTCAGTAGTCAAGAATCTCAGTTCATCTGTTGTACTAGAATTGTACGGGTAGCTTTCACCATAGTAACGATTCTCAAGAATGACACCAAGACCGTTGAACTTTTCCATGAGAATCTGGATGACTAGAAACCCGGTCAGTGATTTGTGCGAACGTATCGATTGGGTTTTGTTGTAAACACTTACTTCCAGTCTGCAAGTTGGAGAAACGCGACTCTCCGCTCGTCTCTCCACCAATGTAGAGAAACACTGGTCCCCCAGACTTGTAGTAAGAAGAGTCGAAAACTGAATCAAATGTTTAGTGCATGCTGAGTATGCACGCAGTAGATTTGTACTTACAGTACCGCTGCTTGAAGGTGGCATTGGTGTGGGGAACATAGCGATCGCTATCCTGGAAATGATCAATCTGGCGCAAAGGTCAGCTAGAGCACAATAATCAACAAAAGCGCATCAACGAACCGGTTGATCAATGGTATGTGCCGCATAAGCTGGCGCATCAGCAGCCTGTCTCTTGCCCTGCCATGAAGCCGAGCGCGGAGCCGGAGTTGCAGACCCCAAAGCCACAAGACTGTAAACCAAGGTCAGGACCTTCATGTTGATGGTTGCTTCTCAGCGGACGTACCGGAATACTTCGGGAATACTGTACCACTCTTATACAGATCTCAAGCTCGGCTTCCCGGATAGCAGGACGCGAAGCTATACCATCGCGTCATGTTCGTTTGTACCTCAAAGCGGGGCAAGGCGTGCAGCGGGCGATACCTATACAGGCAGGTAGATGCAAGGCTTGTGCAGGCTTGGAGAAGCTTGTCGCTGCTTGGTATCTGCCTTCTGCTTTAGAGCTCTTTGCTTACTGTCTTATCGTGCGGTGAGGCTTTTTGAAGGATGGGTAGTGTTGTGTTAGTTGTGTTCGTGCGAGTGAGGTACGCGCGGACCCTAAATACATCGCATTATGGAAGGCGTCAACGCGTCTGCTTACACGATGCAGCAGATACCTGGGAAGTATGGATGATTGGTATTTCTGGAAGTAAACAGTGCATGCAAGTTAAAATGTGCATATGCTTAGGCAATAGAGCTACCTAGGTATGGTAAGCTCAATGACCGATCCCTGCCATACGAACTCGTATACCAAACTCCAGTAGCCTTATCTGACCACAGATACAGAAATGATGACGCAACACTGCATCTCCGTCTCCAGAATCCTCACCACCTACTCCATCTCCTTACTAGTAGGTCTAACCAACATGCCAGCTCTCTCATAAGTTCGATCCGTGGCTTCCATTTGTTTAATACTCTCCTCGCCATCAACCCACGCACCACTCCCATCTCTCCGCTTAACCTTATTCACAAACTCCTCAAGCATGTACCGATACGTAACCCACCAGTCCTCACCCTTTTTCTCACCACCCATGCCATCCGGCCACTTGTACGCCTTCTTGTACTCCGTCTTCTTTTCTTCCTTGACAATCTTGCCAGAAGAGGGATCGCGCAAAGTAGTCGTAGTGGTGATATCGATGCGATGGTAAGAGTGCGGGCCCATGAAGCCCCAGAACATAAGTGACTTTTGGCTAGACTTGTGTAGACCGTTGTTAGTTGTTTCAAGGTTCTCGGGGCGCAAAGTTACAGAGATCGAGGCAAGCAGGTCACTGAAATTTGGCCAGTTTGATGTTAGCCACGGAAACCAGTACCCGCCTCGAGCACCTAGATCGGACAGAACGTGACCACTACCGCCGTTAGGGAATGTGTAAGTAGCGTCCATGGCTCGATCGCAGAGCTGATGTTGTGTTGGATGAAAAAAGCTAGGTGTTGCAGAAGTGACATCTGTAGGCTCAGCTCCAAAGACACCTCGTAGTGCGGATAGGGTGTAATGCCCTATGTCCATTGCAGCGCCACCAGCAAGATCGTAGTCATATCTGATATCCGTTTCAGGGAAAGCTCCTTTGAATGCTCCCGCACGAACACTTGCTTTCTCTACATTTGCCTTTTCGAATTGCGTTAGAAAGACATACCAGGCGGGGTGGAAGCGATAGTGACTCGCTTCAACAAGTACAGGAGCATTTGGAGCTTTGAGAACCTGGTGATGGAAGAGAGAGCGTGCCTCTTGCGCATTGGAGACGGAGGGTTTCTCCAGTAGAACGTGTTTTCCTGCCTTGAGGGCGGCGAGCGTCCATTTGTAGTGCAATCCGTTTGGCAAAGGGTTATATATACAGTCGATTGACGGATCGTTGATCAGCGCTGCGATGGATCAGCATGGTATCACAGCAGTATGAAGTGGCCGTAATTGCTGCTTATGGGCTGCTGCATTGTCATCACCTGGCTCGCTTACCTTCATAGCTATCATGAACAATCGGAACATCCCACCTCTTCGCATAGGCTTCTGCTTTCGTCCTGTCTCTTGCTGCAACAGCAGCGACTATGACATCTGCATGCGAGCGCGCTGGAATGATCAAAGCCATCGGACTGTTCAACGATTCTATTTAGCTCCAAGACCCTATCTCAACTTCCTCATGTTGATAAAGAGAACAGAGCGTGGACATACGCAATTTTGGCAGCTCCTAAAATACCGAAACGTAATGCATCCGAATTCTTCGGTACTGGCTTGCGTCCAGCGGCCCATTCGGTAAACTCAGCGCTGGAGTTCAACCAGTCGACAAATCCCATCTTCGATCGGTTGCGTGATGTAAAAAGTGATGATTTGGCGGTACGATGCTGAAGAAGAGGAAATACATCTCCGTCTACAGAAACACAGGATGTTCCATTGCTTACTATCAACTCGTAACGGGGCGTTACCTAGGTACCTTAAACTTGCGCCTCGCATGCAGTGCGCTTGGGGTGCGGGGCCAAGTCAATGATTGGCGCCCGCTCGTACGCCCGAAACAGTAAGATACCTTCAACTCCTAAGTAGCATCTGTGGCTGATTGATTCCATGGTCAACATGGGAAAAATGCTGAGGGGAGGCAAGAGGTCTACATTTTCAATAGTTCATATTGATATAATACGAGCAAGTATGCCGACAATCGATGACCACCATAAGCACTTGGTGTGTAGTGAAGTTAATATACTACAGTTCAGCCGGACACAGCATCTTGCGTCTGGAGCGTGGGGTGTTAGTTGCTTACGTTGTCTAAGCCGCTTCGATACCGTATAGTTCAACTAGTTGAACTTACAATGTGGCAGTCATGCCCAAGAGACTGCATGTTCTGATGCATGAAAGATAGGCTGAATCTAATCTCGCACGCCTCAACCTCGCTGACTCGGCTAATGAGTATAAGCACCGCCTTCACATCTACCGAATGCCCGAGGCACCGTCTGAAGCGGAAGATTTCCAATTCTGTAGATCATGTAAGTCAGCAATGTCCGAGGCCAGCGGTAACAGCGGCGATAAGAAGTGTGGCAAATATTGAATCATGGCATCATGGCACGAATAATGGCTAGGGTTTCAGATGTCAGGCGTGGTGGCGAGAGAATCCACTTTGCCATATCGGACGACGTGCATGAACGGCATGTTCAGGGCGCTGTTGTTTGATCGACAGGGTAGCACACACGATTGTGTGGGAAAGAGTGGGTGTGGAATTGTATTGTCCACGAATGCCTGAATGCCTACGAAACAGATTGCGCAAGCGAAGTGTAGGGAGGACACCCATCCTTGTTGTCGCACTATATCTTGCAGGCATTGCGTATCACACACCGCAGTAGGCGGGTAAGAGAAATTTCGTCCAAGACTTGCTTCAATGATCTTCATGAAAACAACGGAAATTTGTCGGTGAGGGTTACGGTGACGGAGGTATTACAATGACGACCGGTGTCATTCGGCGAGGTAAAAGAGAAGAAAAATAATTGCGCCGAGCTTGATCAACCGGGCACAACGTTTGCCGTGCTGGGGTCTTCCTTTGAAGTTACTGCAACGCGGTTCGCTTACAGCCGCAATGCTTGGCTGGTGGTGACTATGCGTAATGATCACCAGTAGGAGTGTGATAGGCGAACATCGCAATTCCCACACAACAAGTCACGAGATTGAAAATCCTCCTTACAGATGCTGCGTCGAAGACTCCACATGACCTACTGCGTACACAGCGGTGAGAAATGTAAGGGTTTTCAAGCGGCAACCGGCAGTTACAGAATCAACGGCTTTTCCCTTTTGCGCGACAAAATCCGAGGACCTGGTTATAGTGACAAGGGACAACGGTCAAATCGCAACGGCGTCCGTGTCGTAACGGTGACAGCTTGGGTACACCGCTGAAGGTGACTCACATCGAGTGACCTAGTCGCCGAAGAGGTTCCCAAAAAAAGGCCGTCAGCGTGGATGGATTGACAGCGGGCTTTTCCAGCGCTGGGATGTGATAGGCACCAGCAAAGTAAGGCTGCATGCTCTGCCCGCGGACCCACGATCTGCGAAAAAGGAACGTGGTTTGTGGAATTGCGGACGTGAGTCAGAATGATCTGCCAGGGATTGAGCAGCATGCATGCACTCGGACGCACACAGAAGAGTTGCGTGGGCATGTGATTGATGCGCGCTGGCTTGCGTAAAGTTGATGTATCGAAGGACGACTGCAGGTTTCCACACGTTGTACGCACGGTAACGCGCAGCCTGCGTCAGCCGATGGCGTACATGGAATGCCTCGCGTCTTGCAGGATGAATTAACGTCTGACAGACGTGGCTGACTGTGTACTTCGCCCTACCTAGCACGATCGGTGCTGAGAGAGTTTTGATAGCTAAGCGATAGGTCTGTGTGCTCGTGGAGGACCGATTGCATGGTTGTTCAAGTCCGTATTCATCAGACCGGAATGCAGCCTTGTCGTCTGGGGCCAATAACTCAAGCTTCAACAGCAGAGGACGAGGGACAAAGGCGCAGTTCGAAAGTCTAATTGCTTACTGAGCGCCATCAAGGCGCAGGACTCTGGTCGTCAGCTCGGACAGGCGCAAACTATACGTTGCAAGCCGAGCCGTGTCTGTTCGCCTACTGCGAACATTCGGCATGCTCATCCGAGTATCAGAGATCGAGCACGTTCAGGGTGCTGCCACTTTTGGTGAGACTGCCCCCAACGTGGTGTGGGCGGACCCGCTCAGGCGAGTGGAGATTGGCGTCAGATTGCGGCGTAGGCACGACAATGGTACTTAGTGCGCAACCGCGGGATGCGCTGCTTGATGTTGACGATGATGATGTTTGAAGGAGGGGTACTGTCCTGCGGGAGATAGTGTATTGCAACCTGGCAGACCGCTAACGGCTGTGGAGTTGCGGGCACGTCTTGCTGAGCGGTGAAGTCGTGCAACATGCAAAGCTGTAGTAGTGAAGGACGGTGTTAATCTAGCGTCTTAGTGGTCGCACGTCTGCGTACGACTAGCAATGCAGCTGGTGGTTGGCTTTGCGTATAGAGGAGTCATCTGCCTCAGCTGAAAGCAGGGCATGGATTCCTAAGAGCATGCACTTGTGCCTGAACGGCTACATGGCCGTGGTTGGAGCTAGGTAAGCGCAACCGAGCCAAACCACCAAGAACGGCCCTGCCAATATTCGCATTCGTGGTGTGAGGCCGTATCCGTCTTGCTGATTAGCGTTCCAAGTTGAAGCTGCGGCAAGTATCGACGTTCCTGCACATGCCGGGGTGGTGCCGTGATTTCCAACGTGAACCGGTCACACGGAAGGTTTCGGTAGCTGCGGGACACTTGAATATGCAACACGGTTAAACGAGTCGACTTATTGGCCCTCGACTCAACTTGTCAAGTCTACGTCACACAGCCCACGTGTGTGCGGCCAAGCGCTTGCAATGTACAGGTGCCTGATTGTGGAGGAGGCATACCTGATCGCTCGAACATGCTGCAGCGCTTGTGAAGCAACGGTGGATCCTATCACAGCCATGTGCCTTAGCGGTTAGCTGAGGTGGTGTGCAAGGGAACTATCGCGCGCGCGCTGGCAACCTGGCGGCGTCTCTAGGCAAACGTCTCTATCGGAAGATGCCCTGGAAGATGCCTTGGAGGCTTGCCCTCGACTGAGCATGGCTTTTAGCCCCCAAATGGAAAGGGAAAGCCGAAGGATTAGTGAACAGGGGACTTTGAATTCAACTGCATGCGAGTTTCACTGTGGACGAGAATAGAACAAGTATAAGCGTAATTGATCTTAGATCAAACAATTAATGCTACGAGACGATATTGGGTATTCCTCCTGGCTATGATGCCGCCTAACCAGTAATAGAACTCCAAGAACTAATGATGCTATGATGCCACACAACCAATCCCAAGCGCCAACTAATGCAAGTCTAAAGCAAGTAATACGCTCAATATTAGAAGGACTGTGATGTGTATATGCCAAAGTAAAGTAGGCGTCTATAGAGAAGGATCGTTCCGGACACCCGAACCAGCGTGTGTGGGATATGCAATCGTAGCCGGAAGTGAGACGAGCGGATCCTGGTACATGCAGCAATGCCACATGATAGCAGGGCGTAATAACGTGGAGGCTTGCGATGCAAGGTAGACTGGCGTCGAGTCGCTTTCCGAAGACAAGCTTAGTCTGCTTTTAACCGGAAATCGCGGCGGATGTCAGGTGAGTGACAAGGAGTTGTTCTGAGTCTGAGGCACAGAGTGCGCCAAAGATCAGGTAGTACTGGATGCTGCAGATGCACTGCATGATGGCGGCATACCAGGCGGCAAGGTGCAGATCGATGTCGGATGATAGAGTAGTAAGGTGGGTCGCGTTGAGGATGCTCGGTTAAGGATGCGGAGTTGATATCGATGTTGAAATGCGCCAAAGCCAAGTGTAGGTCGAACAAGACAAAAACGAGGTAGAGAGTTCATGTCCTCTATTTCGATGGGACAGGAGGAAGAGGGCGGGTTGGTGGTGGGCCAGGGCAAGGTGGGAGGTTCTGCGATGCCATGTTGGACTCGTCGTAGATAGTGGCGGCCATTGTGTTGGTTTGTGAGGATGAGCTGTTAGGCTGGTGTTGAGCGGAAGTGTTGAGTTGGTTGTTGGAGTCTTCGTTGGATGACGATGATGTTGTAGTGGTAGTGGTAGTAGGCTGTAGAGATATACTCTTTGTGTTGTAGTCTTCGGCTCTGGATGATGAAACGAACACTCCGATGGTGGGGGGTCAACGTATTTATGTTTGTGCTCAGATTGCAGACCCCCAAAATGTCGGTCAGCTACGTACTTTGACGATGTGTGTAATAATGCTAGGCAGGGCATGGCACGGCCCAAGCGGTGAAAGAGGCGTTGGGCTGATGAGCAGGAAAGGGGTGGCTCCTGGCTTGTGCATAAGCTAAAGCACGCCGAAACATCGCTGATCCTGGTCACTTAATGAGCAGGGGGGAGAAGAAACACGAACTTGCGCGTTACCGCCTTGTCGTTTCATCGGCCTCGTGACAGCGTGAAGATCGTGTTGATCCAATCCTGTCGCAGTATTGTCGCCGTCGCGGCATGTCGTTCATACAACGCATCATCCTCCAGGCAAGGCAGCAGGCCCAGCGAGGCATGATTGACCCACGGGAAGTGTCTGCGCTCATCTGACATCACTTATTCCCTGACCACTACCGTGCTCTTACTAGCAGACATGCCTAGTGCGAACGGTCGTGAGGAATGAAACGTAGCCCTCCTTTTCATCTTGACGGTGCGCAGGGCTGGCATGCATCAGTCGCCGCCTTGGGACCGCTTGTAAGAGGGTTTGCTTGCGAGCGCATCAGGAACAGGCATCGCTCGGTTCCTGTTGCCGTGCGTGTCAAGAGCAAATTCTGACACATTGACAGTAAATTTCCGTCACACAATTTGCGACGTCGCCTATTTGCCAACGTCGGACACACCCACCGACCTCCAGCGCAGGAAGATCTAGCGCCTATGCCGACCTTCTCCCGTGCTTCTTTGACGCTTCTACCCAATTTCGAAGCCCCCTAGAATTTTCCGCTCCACAATGTCCACAGCTGCTGGCGCCCGTGCTGGCGGTGTGAGGTCAAGGCATGACTTTGCTCTTGCTATCCTGAATCGGTTGGCCGGGGTATACACGTTTGTTCGTGGGCAGCTAGGCTGAGAATGCAAAGCACCGCACAAAGGCATGTCATGATTATTTTTGTCTTTTTGGTTTGCCGTCTTCGCGCAACTCGTATTAATCCTAGCTCGCGTTTGTGTCCGAGGTAGGAGTAGTTACCGACGCCCAGTGTGCCCTGTTTCTCAAAGTGTTCCGGCGACCGCAACTGGCTGGTAGTGGCTGCTCGATAAAGGTTATCACAGAAGCTCGGCTGGTCCGGAAGGAGAGAGTTGAACGGGCGCCATGCAGCCACTTGGCGCAGCTGTCAACCAGTCTGAAGGGACGGAGGGAACACCGCTGCTCGCTTGTTGCAGCTGGCCAAACTCCACGTGGACTGGTCAGGGTTTACGTCTGACTTCAGATAGGCGTTTGTTTGATTGACATTCGCAATATGCCACCTTTTACCCCTGCGACCTGCGAGATGAAAATCACGATTATCGAAGCGTTTACAGTACCCTGAAAGCCTGTGCGCAACAAGCAAAAAAGATTTCCCTTACCCACCAGGACTGGGGAGAAGATTCTGGCGATGCGCTCATCGTTGATAGTAAGCGACCAGATTTACAGGGGCTGCTGGTGCGTCAAAACCTAATGCAGAAAGCATCGTCCTCACCATCGCCACCCCCTTCGGTAGTTCATTAGTTCAGTCTCAACGCTTCTCAAAAGCTGTCGTTTCAGCACAGTGGGGAAGGATTGCGCATATGTTACAGTCCAATGCGAAAGACAAGGCGACATGGTGTCAAGCTACAGAGCCAAAGATCTGGTCCCAGGAAAAGACGTTTTCGGCTGACAAGCGTTCCAACCAACTGGCCAGCGCGGAGAGACGAGAAGAGACCGAGCGTTAGTCTGTCTGCCGTTGATTGACAGGTCATCAGTTTGAAGCCATGCCCCTAGAAGGGTCCCTTGAAGCTGCAGGCACGGCTGTCTACCAAGTAAAATTAACGGCGGTTTTTGACCTACATGCTTTTCATCTCATGTTGCTTGAATCAATAAGCCTCTCGCAATTCTCATGCAAGCCTGCTCACAACAACGATCACGATGTTCGCGTTGGCGCAAAAAAGTACGTAGTATTGGCATTGAACTCTATCCACCGGCTCCGTATTCGTAGTGGTGGCTAGTCGATCACAACGTCATTGTGAATAAAAGTCTTGATTTTCCCGTGTTTTGGCAGCCATGGTCCGAGAACGATGGATTAAGCTGATCGTCATCAGCAGATCAATAGCTTGGTGCGGAGAACGATGTTCAGGCACGTTGCTGCAGGTACGCGCAACATTCTCGGCGCCGCTACCGCACCTTATGTGGCTTACGCGCCTTCAATCTCAGGCAAGAGCGAGCATGCGAGCACGCTGCGCCACCCATTTTGGGGCCGGCGAGTCCGATGCGCTACTGGTGAAGCACTCAGAGACTCAGAGGAGACAAAGACGAGAATCCAGATGGGTATTCGCCGGGAAAGCACCGAGTCTCAATGCGCCAAGGCAACGGTTCCCCAGTGCTGTTTTCGATCAACGAGCTGTCCGACGCAGAACTCAGCGTTGCGATCGAATAAAAAAAGAATAGACCCCGGTCATAGGTGCAGTATGTAATACGTCTAGTCGTTCCGAACAGCCGACTCTCCAACAGTGAACACATCAACCCTCCCTATATGCTCAGTTTCAGGTTCATTGTCCTCATCAAGCCCCGGATGCGATATGGACCATGTTTGCAGCGGAAATAAGAAAGACGCGCACGCACAAAATGGTGCGCGAATATCGTGGCGTATGTTGTACTCCTCTGGGAAAATGGTTCACTAAGCCACCTAATGCGCAGGGACTTCCTGAAGAACCGCGCATTTATCCGGTGTGATGGTTCAGCACAGTGCGTCCACGTGGATAAGCCTGTCAAGAACCCATCGTGTTCAGGGTCGGCGAATAGTGGTCGGCGTTGTTATTTTCGTCCCTGTCAGCTCGCACTCGTGTCAGTCGGCAACAAGATCCGACTGTCTTAACTCGATGGCGGTCATATAGTACAGTGATGCTAATTCTATTCACATAGTGTCCTCATCGTCGTCGAGCTGCTCTGCCACAGCTTGTGTCGAAACCCAATTCTCTAGCATAGCCTGGCTTGAATTTGCACCACTTGGTCCTGCCACGTTTCGTGCGCCACGGCGCTTAATGACAAGACACAGTATACGGCCGTAGATACTGAAGCCATCATATGATGTGTTGAGACCAAGCTTCTTCTTATCATCCGCATGTGTCTCCTCGTCACTATCCTGGTCTTCGTCCTGTGTACGAGCCTTGGTCCGACGTCGATTGGTGGGCTCAGGGACAAACAAATCCGAACCTTCGCTATCGCTGCGATTGCTGAGTGCAGCATCCTCATCCTCGTTCCTTCGGCGTCTTTGACGTGCTGAACGCTTAGGCTGTTTCCCAGATTGGTCAGCTGCCGGGATGTCAGCAAGATTGATGGGCTCGTCATCGTCTTCTTCTCTGATAACGATCGGATCTGCGCCATCTTCGTTGATAACGACAGGCTGATCGCTAGTTCCACTTGTCAGCCAGTTGGTGAGTTTCCCGGAATTGCTTTGGATGCGGGCCTTGTCTTTGAAGATCTTTTGCTTGGTCAGAACGGAGTGCCGGGAGGATAGGTCCGTCAAAAAGATGGAAACCTCGAAATCATCTGACGTGAGGTTAGCCGTCTGAGTAAGACTGCAGCATCAATGCGGGGATGCCTGTACTGTGGATACGATATCAAACTTCCATGCAGCTTACCTTCAACGACGACGTCCTTTACTCCCTTCTTTTTAGATTTGGCACTACCTCGGCCTCTACCCCGCTCGTTTTCCTCTCGGAGCTTGGGCAGTACAAGCGGTCGTATAGCCTCAATGACGCGTGGTAGTGCTGGGTCGTCGCGCTTCAACAGCCATGCCTCAGCATCAGCGGGTCGGTCAAGATAGATGCGAACCTCGAGAACAGAATGCTTTGTAATCCGTAGGTATCGTCGAAGTGGTGCCATATCAAAGGACTAGAGAGTGTAGCGTTGATTCCCGATGTTGACGATGTGAGTAAGTGATTGCAACTGCCAGCATAGACACGGGCGATGATGATGCGTGTTCACGTGCGAGCGTTCCGACGCTAGTTCCGATCGGCATGCGCAGAAGTTGATCGGAAAGTGGGCGTCAGCGCATCACAATCACACACGACGCACCACAACACAGCACTAGATATGGTGCTTGAGCTTCATGTATGGGGCCCAGCCTTTGGGCTTTCTTCAATAGAGCCCGAATGCATAGCCACAATCGCCCATTGTCAGCGTGTCATCCCCAGAGGAGAATGGTCACTGGTGGCCGAGCACAACCCCACGATTGGCACCACAGGTACGTGATCCATGACTTATCGTGTCCAGAGCAGGCCCTTACACACTCGCAGAGAGCTTACCGATACTCTTCGATGACGACGTCGCAACAGCCTCCGGCTTCGAGGACATTGTCGCATACCTTCGCAACCACCCTTCAGTCACCAATGACCTTGATGTCAACTTATCAAGTCGACAGCAGACCGATAGGACTGCGTAGGTACCGATCCATGAGTTGATATATGTATTCTTACACGTTTACAGTTTCATCACATTTCTACAATCTACAGCAACCCCTCTGATCGACCTGTCCCTCTACGTCTCTGCCGAAAATTACAACACTATAACCTCGTCTGCGTATACTGCCATCCTCCCATGGTATGCCAACTACACCGTCCCTCCGAAACGACGGGATCTCGCTAGAGCTAGGACGGCGCACATGGGATTGAGTAGTCTAGATGTGGATACCACAGCCGAAGAGGGGTTTGCGCCAGGTCGAGGTACCGCTTCGTCCGAATATGAGGCTGCCAAGCGGGCAGCCGGCATACCTACCGAAAGCCAACCAAATGCCATGAGCATAGGGCGTGGAAAGGGTCTTGGCGGCCTCTTAGGTGGTCAGGTGTACGCCGCACGATTCAGACTTGATGCTCTATCAGGCGAACTCTTGGACCCGTTGTCAGATCTACTCGGAAAACACGACTACCTCTTCCGTGGGGACAAGCCCTCTAGTCTGGATTGCCTTGCCTTTGGATACTTGTCCTTGCTGTACTACCCGCCAGTGCCCCAGGCATGGCTCAGAGAAACTCTCCAGACCAAATACCCACGCATTGTAGCATACATAGGTAGGCTGCATGAGAACCTATTCCGCAGTGAACAGGTGAGCTCTGCAGATATCTGGTCTGTCTCCGCCGGTGTGAAGAAGACGCCAAGAAGTACATCTTTACCGTGGACGGCAAGATCAGGAACTCTCGCTTCAAGTACGCTAGCCGGCGCAAAAGAGATCTTGGGGAACATTCCTGGATTGTCCATGTTCTCACAGCGAAAAAATGTCATTGTCTCGGAGCCGCTGGCATCATCGAAGCGCATTCGATCGGAGCTGCCCTCTGCGCTGTTTATCAACACCCTCTTGGGTGTGACAACCGTGTTCGCAATAAGCTTAGCATCCCTAGCTGTGCACCACCGTCGGTCACCTCGGGAGGGCGAACTCATCTTTTGGGCTCTGCGTCCTAGCAGTGGCCTAGGCGAAGCTGGAAGTATACTCAGCGTCTTCGCCAATCAGCTTCACGATGGAGCATTGTATTCCCAGATTTGAGTACGATGAGTTGACGATATACCCCAATGTTTTATGCACGCTTTATACATGGTCAGTTTTGGACCTTGGGAAAACCAAGATTCTGCCACTGGTCAATGCTTGCTATGGCATGACCTAGTTTAGAACCAAGATAGTCACTTTCCCACCAGCGTTGTTCAAACAGGTCGCGGAACGCCCGGCTTTCGAATCACACACCCCTCTCGAGTTGCCTCATCGCTTCTATGGATTTGCCACATCGCACAAACTTGAGATGATCGTAAAATGAGATGGCAGGACCCTTAGTAGATACACAACGTGGATGCCAATTGACTTGGATGACTGCTTGTAAGGGTCTAGGGAAAATGCATTCTTGGTAGCGTGGTTGTCATGGCGCCCATTGGGTCCCGGAGCCAGGCACACATCAACGTCACATCAGCCGGAGAGGACATAGCCACTGGCGCCAACTGTTCTAGCCTTAGCCTAGATCAGCGCAAGCAGGGCGACTGCTGTCTGGCTGTGTATGCAATGTGGCATGTATGCGCGTACAATTCGCAGAGAAGGGTCGCAATTGAAGCATTGAAGTTAAGCAAAATGCAAGGATACCCTACGCTGATCAAGGATTGCCAATGTCGCAGTGTGGAGGATGTGCAAATGATTTGAGGGTAGCGTGTCCGGGAACATGATCGCCGCGGGAGGGTGGGGCTAAGCAAGGTCTACGTCATTGAACTCCCCTAAACAAAACCTCCGTCATACTGCGACATCTCTGCGCCTTCCCTATCAACACAACACCTAAAAAACTTCGTACCCGGCCTCACCCTTCCAACTCATACTCGATATATCACTACAACACCGACGCCAACATGCACCGAACATACAGCATGCGCCAATCTCGCGCGCCCACGGCGTCGCAGATTCAGAGCCCCCCGCCACCTTCGTCCTCGACCAAGAGCGGGCGCTTCTTTGGCAAGGCTAACATTGGTATGTCTTCCACTTTAGAGATTTTCTGCATTCGCACCGTTTTTGTTTCGTGCGAAAAATGAGCTATAAGGACTGCGCAGTGCCGCCTTCGCACACCGCGTGAATAGCGCCTTGTCGCATAATGCAGCAACAGCACGTATTCCACGAGTGGATCTCACCGGATGGTCACTACAGTGTTACAAATATCATTGTCTATGTTATAGTTGCTAACTGATTCTCTGCTGTGTAGGCCACACCTTCCGCCACAAGTCTGCCGGTGCCTTCGGACCTGACCTTGCGAAGAAGTTGTCACAACTTGTAAAGATGGAGAAGAACGTCATGCGCAGCATGGAGCTGGTTTCTAGGGAGCGTATGGAGGTCGCAGTAAGTTTGCACTGCCCCTGTGCAACCCTACGTAGTACTGACTAGTCACACAGCAACAACTCTCCATTTGGGGCGAGGCTTGCGACGACGACGTCTCTGACGTCACTGACAAGCTCGGAGTTCTCATCTACGAAATCGGTGAGCTCGAGGACCAGTATGTTGACCGCTACGACCAATACCGTGTCACTATCAAGAGCATCCGCAACATTGAAGCTTCCGTTCAGCCCAGCCGTGACCGTAAGTTAATCACATGTGTACCACCAGAAAGACGCTTACAGTCGTATAGGCAAGCAGAAGATCACCGACCAGATTGCCCAGTTGAAGTACAAGGAGCCCAACTCCCCCAAGATTGTTGTCCTTGAGCAGGAGCTCGTACGTGCCGAGGCCGAGTCTCTGGTCGCCGAAGCCCAGCTTTCCAACATCACTCGTGAGAAGCTCAAGGCAGCTTTCACTTACCAATTCGACGCCATGCGCGAGCACTGCGAGAAGCTGGCCATCATCGCTGGCTACGGAAAGCACCTCCTCGAACTTGTCGACGATACACCAGTTACTCCTGGAGAAACCCGTCAAGCTTACGACGGCTACGAGGCTAGCAAGGCGTGAGTCAACTCTCCTTCCTTGCCCCAAGAAAAACATCTACTGACACACTACAGCATCATCCAAGACTGTGAGGATGCTCTTACCAACTGGGTGTCCCAGAATGCCTCCGTCTCCTCCAAGCTCTCCCAGCGATCGCGCACCCTTTCTCAGCGCCGCCGCAACCAGAACCGCAACATGGGTGAGGGTGTCGACCTCTCTGGCCAAGACCAGGCTCTCGACAGGGAGTCTGGCCTATGGATCCCCGCCGAGCAGCACCAGGGCAACGGTTACGACGACCGTGAGGACCTTGATGACGATGTTAACTCGACCATCGCTAGTGAGCATCAGCGTGGTCGTGAGGACGAGAGGATTGTTGCTGCTTAGATGTACCACTGATGATTTGAGCAGTGTTTCACTCTCTGTCAACTAATAGTCCGTCTTCGCAAGGACTGGCGACTTATACCCCTGATGGAATGAGCGATGGCACTGCAGTTTTGGATCCGATATATCCGTTCCATGCGGCTTGGGCGATGTGATTGAAAGCTTTCTGGTTATCAATCTCACTGGAAGCTGAGGTCTAGTTTTGCGTATACGGATTTCATGACTTTTTGACGATTTTCAACGCGTGGTACGTTTATAGGAAGTTTGCAGTAATATGATAATGAGAATAATATACACGCTTCTCTGAAGAAACGAGTTACATTTGCAGTCTTTGGTGTCAATTCCGTCCTCTCAAGTCAAGACCGGCTTCCAGTAACGGCGAATGTTAACCCGAACGTAGACTAGGACCACAAAGATAACTGTCATATCCAAGAGATGCGTCCTCGAGGCGGCGCACACGCCGAAATTCCTTATGCATTCTCTGCGCATCCGGCTTCCCCAACATAGAATGCCATCGGTCATTTGCCGACGACCCACTTTCGGCGGGTGAGCAATACTCCGCCTTGCCGGTTTTGCTCATAGTGCGGGGCAACCAGGATGAATATCAATGACCGAAGACGGGTCTTTTGCCGGACCAAGGCCACTTTTCCTGGGGAACGAGAGTAGTGCGTGACGTCGGGCCGGGTGGGGTGATATGAGAGATGTACGTGGTCGATGTTTTATCTTTGATATTGTGACTCCAAACCTTAACTTCATGATCTATATCTAATAGACCTTACTTGAGAAAGAGCTAGACATTGGTTGTAGTGGAAGAAACAGGAAAACGACAGTTTCTCACTCCAGTTACTGAACACGATTCCAGCACAGTGCTCGTTGACGTTTAGCAATAGAATTGCTAGAGATTACCTTGGAAATATTGAACGACGAATCCGCTAAAACACAACAACAATGTCATCCAAGCCTGAAATCGGCTTCTGTGGCCTAGGCGCCATGGGAATGGGCATGGCAACACATCTCGTCAAGCAGGGCTACCCTGTAACCGGTTTCGACCTCTACCCACCTTCGCTCGAGAAGTTCAAGGCCGCTGGTGGCACTCCATCAACTTCACTCTCGGAGTCCGCAAAAGACAAGCCTTTCTATATCGTCATGGTCGCCGCTGCTTGGCAAGCTCAGCCTGCGCTTTTCGATAAAGACGGCATTGTGGGTGCGCTACCAAAAGGTGCTACGCTCTTGCTGTGCTCAACAGTACCCAGCGCATACGCGAAGAGTGTAGAGAAAGAGCTAGTAGATATCGGCCGGGACGATATCTTATTCATCGATGCGCCTGTTTCTGGTGGTGCAGGACGAGCAGCAGACGGCACTTTGTCCATCATGGCTGGTGCTTCGTCTGTGGCTTTTGAGAAAGGTCAATGGTTGCTAGAGGAGATGTCCGCACCTTCCAAGCTCTTCATTGTCGATGGCGGTATTGGCGCGGGTAGCAATATGAAGATGGTTCATCAAGTCCTTGCGGCAGTTCAGATTCTTGCTCTCAGCGAAGCATATGGTTTCGCTGCTAGGCTGGGCTTGAACGGCAAGGATGTGTACGATAAGGTGCTGGGGAGTACTGGGTGGAGCTGGATGTTTGAGAATCGCAGTCAGAGGACTTTGAAAGAGGATTATTTCCCAGGGGCAAGTGCCGTGACTATCATTCTGAAGGATACTGTGAGTAACTCCGTGTCTTCCGAGATCCCATTTTCGAAGAGACGAGACGACATGACTACGTGCTGACAAGGAATACAGGGCATCATCACATCTACAGCTCGCAGTGTAGCGTTCCCAGCAACCCTCTGTTCAGCCGCAGAACAAGTCTACTTCTCCGCGCTCGACCGGGGCTGGGGAGCTAACGATGACGCTGGCATTGTCCGCCTATGGACTTCTGAACCCGTCACCAGCATCCAGAGCAGTCTCTCAGCCGAAGACAAAGAAGCAAAACTCCAGCTTGTCGTCAACCTTCTAACCGGTATCCACCTCGTTTCTGCGGCGGAAGCCATTTGCTTAGCCAAACACGTTGGCATTCCTCTGGCACAATTTTACGAGTTGGCCTGTGATGCTGCAGGCGGAAGTAGCATGTTCAAGGACGCAGGTGCGAAGATGATTGCGGTTTTGGAGGGCAAAGAAGATGGCAAAGGGAAAGCACTTGGAGGGTACGCGGAATCACTGAAGCAGGCTGTAGATGAGGCACAGGCGATCAAGTGTCCTGTGTATCTTGGCACTGGCGCCTTGAATCTTTTGTTGCAGACAGGGAGTGAGTTGAGCTTGGGCTCGCTGCTCAAGTGCTATATGCCTTAGAGCTGGAAGAAGCATTGTGCAGGCGAGCGACACTATCAAATTTTCTGCGAGATGGAATTGAAAGCGTGTCTACATCTAGTCTTTTGTGGTGATGGTGACAGTTCCCACCTCTAGACCCTCTGCCATAGCCGTGATTGTCAGAGAACCTGGTTTTCCCTTCCTCGCCTTCACGATAGCCAATGCTAGTCCATTGAATGAATCCCTCTGCAGAGAGTGGAACGGAACAAAGTCTGCTTCGAACCCATTGTCCGTAGCAGCAATATCTCCCGGCCCTTCGATCGCGAAGTCAATTGTGTGGTGAGCATTGCGCACAACATTCCCTTCACCATCCACCACTTCCAACGTAACGAAAGAAAGATCCAGCCCGTCAGCCGAAATCTCATCTCGATCAACCGTAAGCCTTAATGCGGCTGGTGGCCTAGTTGTGCTCACACTTTCCGTCGCCCATTCCTCTCCACCCTTGTACGTTACCACCTTGACCTCACCAGGCTGATACACAACCTCATCCCACCTAGCCCTATACTCGGACGCACTGAGGCTTCTCCTCCCTTGAGACACACCATTCACCCATAGCTCAGCCTCTTCAGCATTTGTAAACACATGCACAGGCGTCACCATGCCCACTCTCTCAGCCCAATTCCAATGCTGCGGTACTATATGTGCAATTTTGACATCTGGTCGCCACCTTGCCTGATACAGATAATACCGATCCTTTGGAAATCCAGCAAGGTCAATAACACCAAAATAGGAACTGCGAGCGTCGTAGTAAGGCTCCGGCTCGCCTAGGTAGTCCCAGCCTGACCATACGAATTCGCCGGCGACAAAGGGATTCGCGTCTTGCGCGGCAAATACTTTGTCAGCCGAGGAGCCAAAGTTTGCGGTATGAAGCTCATAGGCGGAGACATAGTAGAGAGACGAGTTTCCACCGCCATTTGTGTCGTTCACGGAGGCGCTATTGAGGTCTGTGACGGGGAAGAGATAGGTACCTCGTGAGCTTAGTGCAGCCGCAGATTCGCTTTCTGCTATCAGTTTGTCCGGGAAGGCATCGTGGAAGGGTTTGTACTGCGGTGGGGTCCGCGTGCCGTTTGTGAAAGAGTACTGAGGTGTATCGCGGATACCTTCTCCCTGGTAGTTCAAGCTCAGGATGTCGAAGGCCTCAGGGAAGGTCATGTTTGGTTTCGCTACATTCATGGACGCTGTGACGGGTCGGCTAGGGTCTTCAGATTTGACAATGTCGTTCAGTAGGCGACCTATCTCGTAGCCTCGATCTCCGCAGCATGTTTGCTCACCGACTTCGTTGCCTACGCTCCAGGAGTAAATGGAAGGGTGGTTACGGTCCCTTCGAACAAAGGAGCGAAGATCAGCTTCGTGCCATTCGGGAAAAATGAGATGGAAATCGTTGTCTGTCTTCTTTTGTTCCCAACTGTCGAAGATTTCGTCCATGACTACAAAGCCGAAACTGTCGGTCATGTCGAGAAGCTCTGGTGCCGGTGGATTATGCGCCATGCGGATAGCGTTCACTCCGAGTTCTCGCAGAGCCTCCAATTGGCGTTTAGCTGCACGATCGTTCCACGCGCTCCCGAGAGCTCCAAGGTCATGGCAGTGTTGGTCTACGCCTTGGATTCGTAGGCGTTCTCCGTTAACGGAAAGCCCTTCTTCGCCACTGTAGGTAAACGACCGGATGCCGAAGTGTGTCTCGTACGTGTCGATTGGAATACTACTGTTGTGGCTCAACAGACTGGTAACAGCGACGTACATGTTCGGCTTTTGGTTTGGCGGAGGTCCCCACAGGTGAGGGTCCTCAATTGCAACTGTAGCGTTCGTGGATTGTTTGCTTCCGAACAGCATTAGACTTGTCCTAGGAAATTCTGCCACCTTTTCTCCCATCTTCTTCACCTCTGCATCGTAGATGTATATGTCGGTAGCAACTTCAACCTCTTGACTCGCATTATTTTTGGCTTCCACATGGACTGAGATGTCGACAGTCGCAGCTTCTGCACTTACATCTCGTGTCGAAACATGGACTCCCCAATTGGAAACGTGAATCGGCTGGACCTTAGTCAACCAGACATTCCGGTAAAGACCAGCACCTGGATACCATCTCGAAGAGTCTATGGGATTGTCGAGCCGGACTACCAACTGGTTCTCGTTGCCTGGCTGCAAGTAAGGCGTGAGATCAAGACGAAATGAGTTGTACCCATATGGCCAACCGCCTACCAAATTGCCATTGAGCCAAACCATAGCGTAAGACATTGCACCATCGACGTCAAGGTAGATCACCTTTCCCGCATCTTCATTGGAAATTGATAGCTTCTTTCGGTAATACCCTACTCCTTGCGACGGTAACCTTGCCATCCCACCTGTAATAGGAGTTGGATCTCCTATGTAGTATGGCCCTTTGATTGCCCAATCATGCGGCAACGTAACATCCTCCCAAGAACTGTCATCGAAGGAGGTTTGTATGTACGGAGTGTTGACAATAGGACTAGTCCATGGGGCTTCATAGTGCTTCGACACATCTTGTATGAATTCGTTGGCGCCTGGGAGAATCCATGGTCTCAAGTATGTGACGTTCCCTTGGGGCGTATCGGTGCGGTTGTCGTAGGTGATTCCATCCGGGTTCTTCTCAGATCGCCAAAACCGCCAGTCTGTATTGATACTCACGCGTTCACGACCGGTAGATGATGTATCGTAATTTCGTGTTTGTACAGCATATGCTCCCACTAGATCGTTATATAGGGATAAGAACCCTAAGCAAATGAACCTAGTAGCCATGCTAGCCTTCTAGCGAAGCTGTGTTCGCCTCAGAAGCTATTGGCCATGCCCAAGACCTTATAGTCCCTTTGGTAGCGAGAGGACCAACTACCGTAAGAGGAGCTGGAACATGGTCTCCTGCGTCACTTCCCCTCGTGCGTAGTCGGTATCTTCCGCGACTGTTATGAAAAATACTTAGGATGAGATATTAGCCTGAGAAGCCGCAGATCTACCCCAGAAACTACCCTGATCAAGACCAGGTCTTCATCTTTCCTAGGTACGGGTACCCGCTCTCCGCATCAAAGGTAGCAATCCTCTCCACAAATTATCCTCCAATAACGTTGTTTTCCGCTAGAGCATCATGATGGGTGCTCGTAGTCGGAATACGATACCATGTAGAGAATCTGACTACGTAATTGTGCCGGCGACACTTCGTACAAGACTGGTGTTGATGAGCATATTCGAGGGGTCGGCTCGGTCGAACAACCTCCGGCTGGAGCTACCCCACACATTCCCCAAAGCTAGGAGCGACTTCCCTGCCCTATGTCGACAAAGAATCTCGACGTCTGTGTGAAACACTGTGAACTAAAACATCGAAGCATGAAAAACTCCTTTATCTGTCATTAGGCTTTGCATCGACATCGCACTCAGTCCAAGTTTGCATTCTTCAGCATCTCTCGGGTCTTGCTATACTCAGTCTCCAAGCTGTTGAAAGAGGCAAGCGTATATGAATAACAGAACGAATCGCAAGAGCTCTCGCAGCTTTTCGTCGAGTTGGGATTCGTTTGTCCTGAAAGGTTGACTTGACAACCAGATCAGCCACTCTACACTCAGGAATCCACATCGAAGACTTGCCTCCTTATTAGGCTCGCAGACATTGTTTTCCACAACTTGGTGCTTCCTCTTTGTCTTCCCATCCATAGCGACTGCTATACGACGGCGCTGCGTCCGGCATCATACTTCCATTCCACCACGTGTCGCAAGAAGCCCTCCTCAGTCCTCCGCCTATTGAGTCAAAGCATATCCCATGCAAACTAGCTGTCCCAGACTCTGGTGAGAGCCCTATCTATGTAGGTAGGAGTGTATTCGAATCCGGTGCTGGCACTCTGTAGCTGATGATCCAGCTCGTGGCGCACTCGGGATGGGGTCGTGATGGGTTTCGACGTATTCGAAATGGAAAGGTCGACAGAGTCTTGAAGTCACTGCGTCTTCTCCAGCCTCATGTCCGCATCTCCATCTCGAGATCCCTAGTCTCTCCGCTCAAGTCTTGCACATCGTCTTGAGCCATTATTTGTGCACTAGCGTCCAGATCTTGTATGACGTTCTCTAGGCCTCGTACTAGGGCTTCTATTTCGGCACGCTGTGCAGTAACAGTCGAAAGTAGCTCGGTATTTGACTGCTGAGTCTCGACGAGCTTAGTGTTCATCTCTGTCGCCTGCTTTTCGAGGTAAGGCATGAGGTGCGCCAAGTGTATTTCGGCCGGGGTAAGGGTATGGGGTCTTTGGTAATGGGTTAGTATTTAATAGCGACAGTAATTGGTGCTTTTGCAGGACTCACGGCACAGGTATCTCAACGGGTCCACCGTTGGCGCTCGCTTCGGCGCGCCTCTTTCTTAATTTCGCATCTTCTATGCATTGATCTAGCGAATTGAGAAGCTTAACAACATTCCTCCTCTCCATGATGTCCTCGAAGTTGGTCTTCCATGTCCGGTCCAGCTGATCCACAATCTGCCCCCTCAAGTTGTCCAGTACCTCTGGGCTATACTGCGCGGCCGTGGGGAAACACGAAGCAAAGTTCTTGGCCGAACACTTGTCTAAGGTCGCTTTTGAAGCCTGATTGAAGACATTGATCAGACCTTGCGCGCGCGGGCCAGGAGCATCAGCAATAGGTCGGGCAGGTGTGGGAGACGGAGAGCGTGACTCTGGGTTCGTAGCGGTAGGCATAGTGGTGTAATCGTGAACCAGTATGGCGGGTGGCAGTCTGGCGTGGAGCGGTCCAGTGAACGTTATCGTTGTCGCATTGCCCTCATCATAACCCAGGCGTGTTTACTTCAAGGCGCGCTTACCGATACACGTGATAGCGTGTCCCGCTAACCCGGCCCCACTTCCCCACAACCATCTCCAACAACTTTTTGTAACTTCTCTGCTTTATCTCTGTTCCTGGCATCGATTAAGGACGATCAACATGACTGTAACACAGTCTTCGGATACATCCGGTAGTTTAAACTATGTTGGCAGTGGTACAGACCTAAAACGCGTCAAGCCACGGCGAGGTTATGGACCCAAGTACATCAACAGGCCGATAGCATTGCGCGAGTCTGGAAACATTGCCCGAACGAGCGCCAAACGCAGAACAGACACCTCTGGAGATCTATGTAATACACTGGATTTGTACGGGAGAACTCTCGAACAAACCTAGCTTTCTTATTATCGACTAACCTCACTTCTAATATTTTAGCAAAGGGACAAGGTTGCAAATCACGGCTCCCTTCAGATCTAAACATGGGACCGCTCATTACGGACATGGCTATCAGAAACCAAGCTGTCGAATAAATACAAAGCCACTAACACGCACGGCTGGGGTTCAAGATACCAAGGAAGTCGGACAACTGAGAAGCTTACTGGATCATCCCCGACGCGTTCATCGTGCCATCATCCAAAACGCTGATCATTGGACCGCACCCTTACTCCCTTCACCGATGCTCCGTTCCCAGGACAATTACAAGTATAATGAAAACAGGAAGCATGGTTCCCAGGACAACCGAGCTGAACCTGCGAAGATAGATCGTGCGGTCGAGAAGGAACCAACCATTAAGGAATCAGGCTCTGTCCTAAAGAAGCAGAAAGAGGCACGCTCTGAGCGAAATGCGAAGAAACGCATCTTTCGGGAGTATGAGGAGCAAGTCATGAACGAAGCGCGCACAACCAAAGAGAAAACAAACATCAGGGTGACACGCTCAGTCACGAAGAGGCGGGCTGCGACAAAAGAGGAGATGAAGCTCGGTGAAAATGTCATGTTCACCGTACCGCAGGCTATTACCATATACAAGAGACAGGAGAAGGATGGTTTTCCATTGGATCTACAGGTAGAAAGATTCAGGACGGGATAACGGGCAGAAAGAGAGGTGACAGTGACCAGCATGAAACCTGGTAGAATACCCCAACTGGAGTCTTTGCGAGAGAAAGCGATAGCCTGAGGAAAAAGATCAGGATGAGATGGGCACTTGTTAGGTGCACTGTACGGGGGGAATGATCGCCCGTCAACGCCTGCAAGGCAAGTATGACTGCCCGTTAGACATAGGGTAGCAAGCAAAATCCCTCGACTGGAAGCTTCAGTCTATCAATAGCATGATCTCTTGACCCATGATTGAGATTGTTTGTATTTGCAGACCCAACGATAGGCACCAAAAACTCCATTGTATGCAAAAAGGTCTTTATTTTGATCAAGGTCAAGCACATAATCTTTCGTCAGCGATGGAAAAAGAAGGATTAAATTTTCTTCCTAGCATGTCGCTACAACGAGACACAAGGATGAATCGCAACTATCAACGATGAATCGACCATGTTCCACAAAGCAAAGCGCTAATGTGCATACATCTACTCTTCGAGGTAAGAAAGCTTACGCATCTCACCCAACCTCGTTCTAGCCTGTGCAAGCGAGTTCTCGAGTTGCAGAATCTCGACCTAAATTGATCTGTTAGTACATGTTCCTCTTCAAACAATGTTCGGTGTTCACATACCTGCTGCTCCATCTGGCGAACCTTGAATTCGTGGTCGCCCAACTTGCTGTAGTCGACTTCCTGGCCTTCGTCCCTGTTCTTCTGGGCGATAATCTCCTGTACCTGCCTGACGAGCGACCTGCAAGCCGCCGTGACAGTCTTGGATGCACCCTCGAGCCTGTCTTGCGTCTTGCTCATGAAGCTGGCCTTGACACGACTGGCAGCCACCAACTGAGCGGTGGAAGCAGCGACGTCGTTGGAAGCGACAATGAGCTGCTCAGGCGAGTTGCGACCGGAGATGACACCGTCGGCGGTCTCGATGAGCATGTTTGTCGATGTGGCGACGGCCTTGGCAGCACTGATGAGACCTTCGGTCCAGCGGTTGTGCTTCTTGTAGAACTGCGTCTTGGACATGCTTCCTCGGCCTTCGCGAACAATTTCTTTCTGCGATTCTGTCGCTGCCTTGATGAGCTGAGCAATCGCATTCGTGACGGCGATGGCGGCTTCGAGGATGGAGTCGTGGATCTTGAGCTCGTAGGTTGAGTACTGGTCCCTTGGCTTCTTCATCAGCTTCGCCAGACGCTCGGCCGCCGCGTCGATGGCGTTGGCTGCCTTGGTCAACTCGTTGTCAACCAGATCGCCAAGGTCGCCAGAGGCATTGGTGATCTTGCTCTTGGGCGCGAACGCGTCTGCAAGCTTAGACAAGCTCTGCAAGTTGCGCACAACCTCGGTGCTGTTGTTGATGACAACGTTGATCTTCTGCTCTGCGTCCATGTCGTACATGCGCACTGACTGGACGTTACGGAAGAACCTGATGGTTGACATTGCAGAAGTCCTTGCACCACCAATGAGCTGGTCGGCCTTGTTCTCGTCAGAAGCGAATCGCGTCAATCCCTTGGTGTTCACCAAAACATCAACTATCGCGCCACCAAAGTTGTTAACGGCGTTAATGACCTCAGCGTGCTTTGCGTTCGGCCCGTCAGCGATGAAGTTGTTGAACGCGGTCGAGAATTCCATGGTACATGTCGATGCCCTCTCAATCTGCGAGAGCACATACGGACCAGTAGCGTTCTGGTTACCAGCCTGCATAGGAGAGTCCAGTTCGTACAACGCATCGTCGACACGTTGCACACCACTTTGGAGGACCGAGTCGATGATGTCGTTGATCTTCTGAAGACTGTCTTGGATAAGGGTATCCAAGTGGCCGTCCAGGACATCATCGTTCGTGCCGGCATTGAGCTTCAGCTCGTTGAGTTCGAGCAGTGTCTGGTCCATACCGGCACGGAAGATCTCCAGCTCCTCCTCCTTGTCACGCAGTTGACGCTCCAAGTCAGAATCACCTTCGCGGTACTTCATCTGGAACTCATCTAGCGTACGGGTCTTGTTTCGCAGCGCCTCCTCAAGATCTGCAATTTCTCGGTTGTGTCTCGACAGCATTGCCGAGAGTTCTGAGCCCTTGCCGCGCTCGAGGTTGTCGGCTCTATCCAGAGCAGCGCGGAGTTCCCGCTTCAGTTTCTCAGTCTCCTCGCGGTGACCACCAGTGTGGCGGTCCTTCTCCATGAGTGCTCGGTCGCGCTCACGGATCATATCTGCCAGCTCCAAGTTCTTGGTCTTCAGTTCGCGTTGCAACCTGTCCCTGCTATCAATGGCTTCCTGGGCTGAGTTTGCCTTGAGCTGAACTGTCTTGAACTTCTGCAGCAGTTGAAGATGCTCATGACGCAGTTGCGAATATAGCTTAGCCAACGACTCGTACTTTGATCTCCATGTGTTGAGCTGCTCCTGAAGTGCCCTTATCTGATCGTCTCGCGAGCCCATTTGCTGTTGGAAGTTTTGATTCATTTGGTTGATCTCGCCTTCTAGAGCCTTCATCCTCTGGTCGTATTGTTGTAGCATGAGCTGGTCGCGTTCGTACTGTGCGCGCGCATTCAGGTTTTCCCGCTCAAGCTCAGCAAGACGCCCCTGTGTCTGCTGTTGATACTGATCGCGCATGAGTTGCTCTTGCGCCAACCGAGCTTGTTCTGCCTGGAGCCTTTGTTGCTCTTCGAAGTCACGTTGTGCTTGCATCGCTTGCTGTTGCTGCTGCTGTTGAGCCTCCTCCCATTGTCGCTGTAGTCGCTGCTGTTCGGCTTCGTATTCCTCTTGCTGCCTACGCTGGTTGTCTTTCCAAAACTCGTTGATCGGCTCTGGGTCGACCGAGGGAGCGCGTGTGGGTTCCGCAGGCTTTTCGTTTTGTGGTCGTTTAGGTAGCGCCGGCGCACTCTCATCTTCAGAAAGTAGGTTTGGTGGTTCTTGTGGCAGCTTTGGTACTGTGATGAGGTTTGTCAGGTATCGCAGATTCGAGCATTCGTAGTAGAACTTGACGAGACGGTAATGCTGCGCATCGTATCGTCCGCGTAGAGGCGAGAGCGCTTCATCGTCACCGAGTGCTACACTGGTTAGCTGGGTTGCAACTTGGCCGAAGTCCTGTCACTTACTTGTATGCATCGCGCGCAGCATGCTAGTGATGAACTTGTAGATACCATACGACTCCTGAACCAACGGCACTAACGCCGCTATCCTGCACTCATTGTTCGCGCCACTTCGGAAGTGAGAGAAGATGAGCTTCTGGAAAGCATCGATCTGATCCTGTAGGGTCATAAGGTCCGAAATGGTTTCATACCCCTCGTTGGGGTCGTTGATCGACTTCAAGCTGATGTACTCCTCGTATTCGAAGGTTCCTGTTCCAATCAGCCCAATGCTTGTGCCCTGCTACCAACTTTCGTACCATTGAACTCCGGGTGTTGTCGGTGGAAGGCAAGCTTGGCCATGAGATAGTAGATGTACTCGGAGATAAGCGGCGCATATCCTCGCATGCCTTCGCCGACTGAGGAGCCGCGTGATAAGCTCTCAAGCCAGCTGGTGTTCGATTGCGCCTCCTTGAGAACGATGGGATGGCCTTCCTGTAGGACCTTGTGGACCGTAATGAGCGCTTTGAATGTTTGCACCTCGTCGGCGAGAATTGGCTGCCTGGAATATGCTATCAGCATTGGTCGCAGTTTGGACACTATGGATGCGCCTTAGTTGACCTACACTTTCATGCCCTGCCAGAAGGAGGCAGAACTCTTGTGGTCCCACGTGTAGACAATGCATGCTCGCACATGTTTTCCTGTGCCAATATAAGCCTCGCTCGCGATCTCGGGGGGTTCGGCACGTACTCTTGGGTGAGACCTCTTCGATGCTTGTGGCTTTACGAATGTTTATGGCAAGCTCCGACTCCTGCCTGTGGTATTCTTTAGCCTGTACTCTGAACAATGCAGCAACGGGTTCCTATGTGTGTCTGGCCCAGTCCGGCATGATGGTGATGGTATACGTACTTCCCCATGTCCACGTTGCGCGAGCTTCCGTAGAGCGCCATCTTGCTCGCCGTAAGCCCCTTCTTGGTTTAGTTGTTGGTGGTATCAGGTAACTGTAGAAATGAAAGGCTGTGGGTCCGTGTCGAGAAGGCGCGCAAAAGTAATGCGCAGGAATGAGGAGGTGTGGGGATGAGTTAAGTGGTTGCGCTGTTGGGGTCAGTCAACCATCAGAGGAGCTCCTACTACCTACTCGACCGACCCTGGGAGGTGGTTCGTGCTGCTTGGCGCTTCGTCATCGCCTTCACCCGCGACGAGGCATCGCACGCGATAATTGGTTGCTGCCCAACTAACCTTCTTACATTTCCCATTGCATCCTAGAAGTACTTGCAGGTAAAACCTCTTTACTCTAGCCATAATCCCCCTAAGGCGTGTCTTGCGCAACCCGTGCCGCGAACTCCTCCCCCCGGGCTGTGCATCCTGGCATAAACTGTTGCCTTCGCCATCGACTAACAACGCATACGCGGCTACATGCGCAACCGCCTCGGAGTCTGAGTTGGCATTTGTGATGGAGGGTGAGAGGATGCATCTTCACTAAATGGGGCTGCATGGCTTCGCTGCATGCACCCTCGAACCGCGAACTGTACCGATCACGCATGGCCAGCGCAACGATCATCAGGAACTGCTATGTCATTTTACATGATATGCTCGGATGCGACTCAAGGGTATAAACGCCATACAATGCTACTAGTAATACAATATTGATGCCCTATGACGCCGTGACGAAAGGCTGGACAACTTAAACCGCCTCACTTTTACCTCCCTTGCTGAGATATGCTGCCATAGGGTCGGCAGCCATTGTCCTTTTGCGGCGATACTCTTCCATTTCTTCTTCATTTACGCCTCCAGTCATCTCGTCGAGAGCTCGTTTCCGACTGGCAGCATCGCTTTTCTCTTTCTCAGCGCGGTCTGGAGCATTCGGTACGTGTTCCTCGAGAGCCGCCTCTTCTTTCCATGCAATCTCTTTGGAAACTTCGTCCAGGTCAGCACCGGTTCGCATCC